CATGTATGTATATATATATATATATATATATATATATATATATATATATATATATATATATAACAAATTTTAGTTAATTGGGGTATCGGTCCTGATGAGGGCTCAAATAAAAGGCTTTTGTGCTACACCAAGCTTTCGAAAATGTTTATTTTCTTCTTCAGGGGCTACAATATGAAAGCGGCTCTTAGTTATTTAATACTAAAGTCTTCTAGTTAAAGTACTTACTGCTACAGTGCCATTATAGGCCAACACCAAACTCATCCGGATAACAGAAAGAATCAAATACGACCGTTAATTATTATAACCGAGGGCAGCCATCTAGACGAAATTGTTGTTACATTTTATTTAAACGAATTTTACTTCAAACGCAAAACGCAAATGATGGAAAGGTTTTATTAATATGACTACCGCCAGCCGTCCAGTTTTTTTCCCTTCTTTTTTTCCTTTTGTTACCTCCTTTTTGTTTACAAGGCACCTAATGTATAGAGGCTTGGGACTATTTTTCTAAATTATAATTACATTGTGACGACACTATTATCAGCAAACGCAATTCGATTGACGGTTGGTTGTAAAGTTAAGACATTAGAGTAGATCACACTGAGGCCATCAATGTCAGATCTTTTATTGACCGATTTCGGTTCCAAGAAGATCTCCACCATTTCCAAAATTGCTCTTTTGTTGTAGTTGCTCTCTTTATGGAGAATTTTTGTTTCAACAAAGTTAACATCGTGATCCATTTGGTTAGAGTGTGTTGCTAATGAACAGGTGTTCTTATTGAGTCTGCAATCACTCTTGTGTGACGTAATTCTATCCTTAAGTACTCGCGATGTCTGTCCTATGTATACCTGATCACACTGATTACAGGGGATGCTATAAATTACTTCTGAATTCTTTTGTACCTCATCCTTATCTTTTAGTTTGCTAAAGACACTCCCCAATGTTTTTGTTTGTTTATATGCTATCTTAATATTTGTTTGTGCTCTCAGAATTTTTGTGAGTGTGGTCGTTAATTCTTTAATGTATGGCAATGAAAAATAAAAACATCTCAGATCGTCCATTTCTGGGCTATCTGAGTGGACGACCGTGTTCCGCGGGTTTGGAGCTCTTAGTGGGGTCGTGCTATATAACAATTTTTTAGTTAACCTACTTGGGTATGAGTTGTTAATCAGCATGTCGTAAAGCTTATTAAGATTTTTTTGTCTTAGTGATGGGTGAGAAATCCTCTCTATTCGTGTCTTTAATGCTATGACCAAATTTATTTTTGTTTTCGTTGTATGGTAAGAGTGGAAATTCATATATCTCCCCGAACTGGTCGGTTTTATGTACCAATCTAATATAATTTTGTTATCGTTGTTCCGGATCACTTTAGTGTCCAGAAATGGTACGCTTTTATCAATTTCCTCCTCTACTGTAAATTGTATGTGTGCATCATAGCTGTTAAACACTGTGAGAGTTTCCCTCACGCAACTTTCAGGTATGGAAGTAATTATATCATCCACATATTTTTTCAGAAATGGTAACTGAAACGACAGCTTATCTACGCACACCTCAAGTAGGTCATCCATAACGTATTGAGCTAATATTGGAGAAATGATGGCACCCATCGGTGTACCTAATTTTTGTTTGTAAAATTCATTGTTAAATCTAAAATACGTTGTATCAAATACAAACTGAAGTATCTTTAGGAAACTAATTTGTGACAAATCAGTGTGGTTTCTAATTCTGTTCCAATGTTTTTTTATACTTTTTTCTACCAAATTATATGGAATATTACTAAATAAAGAGACGACATCCAAGCTCACAAGAACATACTTATTAGGTAATTGTTTGTTATTGATAAATGAAGAAAACTCAAATGAATCACCTGTGAAATAATCATTATTCTTATTATATGCTTTGGTTAAAACCTGAGTCAACAATGAAGCCAGTTTACTGTTCGGAGCATTAATTGATGAAATTATCGGTCTTAAGGACAATTGGGGTTTATGTATTTTGGGTAAGCCATAAAATTTAGGACAAGTTTGATTATATATATTTAAAGTTTTGGCTACCTCATTTGTTAATTGTTTTTGATCTTTTAATGATTTGACAAGTTTGTTAGCTTTTTGTTGGTAAGTAGATGTAGGATCACATCTGAGACGCTCGTAATAGGTCCGATCCATCAGAATTTCGTTTGATTTTTGAATGTATGTATCTTTAGACATAATAACTGTCACATTCCCTTTATCGGCCCTAGAAACGACCAACTCAGCGTGATCCTTAAAAAATTTTTTTGTCTTTTTTAACAAAATGTCTATATAGCTACGCTTTGCCGGTTGTTTTTGACGAATTTGGTAAAAGACAACAAGGGTCATGTGATAAAAAATTCAAAACCATCAAAAAAAAGAACATAAACAAATTTCAAAACTTGAAGTCGCAACAGCATCACTTAACAATCAAAACACAAGATAATTGGGTTAAGAATATTTCAGAGGTTGAGGTCCCGGATGATGTCTTGAGGTTTCTCTCTTTAGGTTCGAAATTTTCCGTGCCACCAAGATGCAATGAAATCTCAGTCAAACGTTTAATTGCTGATGTAGAAACTATAATTAAAGTTGTACCAGAGAACGCAAAAAATACTGTAAGAGCTAAGTTTACTAATGTATTGACTAATTTTTTAAAACAACCGGCAAAGCGTAGCTATATAGACATTTTGTTAAAAAAGACAAAAAAATTTTTTAAGGATCACGCTGAGTTGGTCGTTTCTAGGGCCGATAAAGGGAATGTGACAGTTATTATGTCTAAAGATACATACATTCAAAAATCAAACGAAATTCTGATGGATCGGACCTATTACGAGCGTCTCAGATGTGATCCTACATCTACTTACCAACAAAAAGCTAACAAACTTGTCAAATCATTAAAAGATCAAAAACAATTAACAAATGAGGTAGCCAAAACTTTAAATATATATAATCAAACTTGTCCTAAATTTTATGGCTTACCCAAAATACATAAACCCCAATTGTCCTTAAGACCGATAATTTCATCAATTAATGCTCCGAACAGTAAACTGGCTTCATTGTTGACTCAGGTTTTAACCAAAGCATATAATAAGAATAATGATTATTTCACAGGTGATTCATTTGAGTTTTCTTCATTTATCAATAACAAACAGTTACCTAATAAGTATGTTCTTGTGAGCTTGGATGTCGTCTCTTTATTTAGTAATATTCCATATAATTTGGTAGAAAAAAGTATAAAAAAACATTGGAACAGAATTAGAAACCACACTGATTTGTCACAAATTAGTTTCCTAAAGATACTTCAGTTTGTATTTGATACAACGTATTTTAGATTTAACAATGAATTTTACAAACAAAAATTAGGTACACCGATGGGTGCCATCATTTCTCCAATATTAGCTCAATACGTTATGGATGACCTACTTGAGGTGTGCGTAGATAAGCTGTCGTTTCAGTTACCATTTCTGAAAAAATATGTGGATGATATAATTACTTCCATACCTGAAAGTTGCGTGAGGGAAACTCTCACAGTGTTTAACAGCTATGATGCACACATACAATTTACAGTAGAGGAGGAAATTGATAAAAGCGTACCATTTCTGGACACTAAAGTGATCCGGAACAACGATAACAAAATTATATTAGATTGGTACATAAAACCGACCAGTTCGGGGAGATATATGAATTTCCACTCTTACCATACAACGAAAACAAAAATAAATTTGGTCATAGCATTAAAGACACGAATAGAGAGGATTTCTCACCCATCACTAAGACAAAAAAATCTTAATAAGCTTTACGACATGCTGATTAACAACTCATACCCAAGTAGGTTAACTAAAAAATTGTTATATAGCACGACCCCACTAAGAGCTCCAAACCCGCGGAACACGGTCGTCCACTCAGATAGCCCAGAAATGGACGATCTGAGATGTTTTTATTTTTCATTGCCATACATTAAAGAATTAACGACCACACTCACAAAAATTCTGAGAGCACAAACAAATATTAAGATAGCATATAAACAAACAAAAACATTGGGGAGTGTCTTTAGCAAACTAAAAGATAAGGATGAGGTACAAAAGAATTCAGAAGTAATTTATAGCATCCCCTGTAATCAGTGTGATCAGGTATACATAGGACAGACATCGCGAGTACTTAAGGATAGAATTACGTCACACAAGAGTGATTGCAGACTCAATAAGAACACCTGTTCATTAGCAACACACTCTAACCAAATGGATCACGATGTTAACTTTGTTGAAACAAAAATTCTCCATAAAGAGAGCAACTACAACAAAAGAGCAATTTTGGAAATGGTGGAGATCTTCTTGGAACCGAAATCGGTCAATAAAAGATCTGACATTGATGGCCTCAGTGTGATCTACTCTAATGTCTTAACTTTACAACCAACCGTCAATCGAATTGCGTTTGCTGATAATAGTGTCGTCACAATGTAATTATAATTTAGAAAAATAGTCCCAAGCCTCTATACATTAGGTGCCTTGTAAACAAAAAGGAGGTAACAAAAGGAAAAAAAGAAGGGAAAAAAACTGGACGGCTGGCGGTAGTCATATTAATAAAACCTTTCCATCATTTGCGTTTTGCGTTTGAAGTAAAATTCGTTTAAATAAAATGTAACAACAATTTCGTCTAGATGGCTGCCCTCGGTTATAATAATTAACGGTCGTATTTGATTCTTTCTGTTATCCGGATGAGTTTGGTGTTGGCCTATAATGGCACTGTAGCAGTAAGTACTTTAACTAGAAGACTTTAGTATTAAATAACTAAGAGCCGCTTTCATATTGTAGCCCCTGAAGAAGAAAATAAACATTTTCGAAAGCTTGGTGTAGCACAAAAGCCTTTTATTTGAGCCCTCATCAGGACCGATACCCCAATTAACTAAAATTTGTTGTTCAACTAGCCGGTCACGACTACCGTTTTGTATATATATATATATATATATATATATATATATATATATATATATATATATATATACCTCTCCTTTATTAACTTAAATTCTCGCAGCAACATTAATTAAGGTTTTATCGTCATTTTTCGGTATATATAGTAGCAGGTAGTTTGTAAATATTACATTTGATAAAGACACGGTGTTGTCGAAACAATTGTCATGTCATAATATATAATTTCGTGAAAATCTGAACTTTTAGTTCTTATTTATTTTGATAAATGGATTTTCATCAAGTCAAAGCCACCTCAGTTCAATTAATCGAGTATGTCCTGGATTGCGAAAAGTTGAGGTGTTGGTGAGATCTCCTGTACCTACCAATATTAAACTTGCTCGACAGCTGATGAATTTAGCAGGTTATTTTCGCAAGTTTATCCCAGAATTTGCTACCAAGACAGTGTGTATAACCAAGCTAACCCGTTCTAATGAGTCATTTTCTTCACTTCACTTCTTAATGTATTTGATCCGGCACTCCCTACATGGTTGCATTCGATAGGGAGGCGTGTTACTTAAAAAATTTGATGAGAATGTACGCGTTATAGGATATTACTGTAAAAAGACAAAGAAGTACGAAGAACCATATGACTGCTAAGAGTTGGAGACGTTAGTCAATCCAGTGAAGTACTTTCGTGTCTATCTACTAGGAATTCACTTTACTTTGGTGACTGGTTGCAATGCAATTAAAACAACTATGACAAAAAAGTTATTCTGCCTATGGTAGCTTGTTGGTGGGTCTACATACAGGACTTACAGGACTTTGTTTACAAAAAAGGATGCTCCTTACCACAATACAAAAACCTACTGACTACTCGAGGCGAAACCCTACAGTGACACGACATTTGACTGCACATGACAATTGGTTTTATGTTGAACAACAGAGTAATATTGAGGCCCAGAAGCTTTTAAATTACTGGAAATAATATTCTCCATTGTCTAATACCCATAACCAACGGTACCGTTGCTAAACCATTTGTTCCTCGTCACAGCAGGTTAGGATTATTACGATTATTCCTTGACGAACAATGTCGTGTTGGCATTGATAAGACGTTAGACTCAATTCGAAGACACTTTTGGTTCCTGCGTTTTGTTATCAAATATGTCCGTCATTGTCTTGTGTGCGCTGTAAAAAAAAATCGATCGGGTCCTCTTCAAGGCATTATTATCAAGGTACAAAAACCAACCGCCCATGAATGTCATTGACGTTGATTGCTTGGGACCCCTAGAAATTACAGCAGAAGTATATAAAGATAAAATATTGCATTGTATTACCATTAAAAACCATTAACGCCAAAGAAACAAAAGTTGCTTTCCAGCTATTTATTTGGTACACTGAAACAAATTATTATGGACGCTGGCAAAAATTTCAAAAATCTAAGTTTAGTCGAATATTTGGTTTCATTATCATTTTACGACCCCAGACGTACATCAATCAAATAGACAAGTCAACTATCATGACTCTTCTACAGATTGAACCTAAAGTTAGGTCAGAATGGGCGAGCGCTTTTGGAAAATTCAACTTGTTCTTAATACGACGGTACAAAGAACCAATTCAAATGACACCGCTTAGGGCTTTGATTGGAATAAAAGGGTCTATACCATTAGCAGCATGCATATGAACAATATTTTATACAAACACTTTTATATTTTATGTACATCTATTAAATAATATATTAAAAGATAAAAAATTCATTTATAGGAAAACTACATTTTCTAAGCAGTGACTGTTTGTATTTGCTCCAGTGATTCTTCCATTTCATTTTTTTCAAATCCTTTAGGAGGCCGCGTTAATACCTTATCAATAAGACCAAAATCTTGTGCCTCTGATGCACTCATAAATTTGTCTCGCTCCATATTCTTTTCAATTGTTTCCAATTCTAGACCAGTGTGCCTCACATATAACTGGTTAATTTGCTTCTTTATTTTAATAATTTCCTCAGCTTGGATTTGAATATCTGTTGCTTGACCCTACAAATATTAAAAACTCAAAAAGATAAATAAAAATTGATGGCCTAGAAAGAGTTCCTATCCAAAAATGAAATAATAAATTAAAGCAAAAAATATATAATTATACTATATATTAGGCGTTTTCTGGGTTAGTTTTGGTTAGTTTTTTACAACTACACTTTGAAACTCTATAGGTGATTTTCCTAGGGTCCAAGTCAGTATCAAGATTTTTTGATGTCTGACTAACCCTAGATTTAATATTGATTGCAATTCAAATCATGCACATGCAACAAAAGGTTTTGAAGCAGCTGTATTATGGGGAATAAAAATATAACTGTATATGAGGTTATCATGAGGAAATTTTTTCAAGAAGTTGATTTAAACAAATAACTACCTGAGCACCACCTGAAGGCTGATGAATCATTATCCTAGCATTAGGTAACGAATGCCTTAATCCTGGAGAGCCAGCTGCTAACAGAAGAGATGCCATGCTACATGCTTGGCCAACACACCTAAAATGGATGCTCATAAAACAAACAAAATAAAACCAATTAGCAAATACCTACCACGTCGCAATTGGTGGCAAAATATATTGCATTGTGTCGTAAATCCCCAAGCCAGCAGTAACACTTCCTCCTGGTGAGTTTATATACATATGTATTGGTTTACTTGTTGATTCTGATTGAAGGAACAAAAGCTGCGCAACAATTAAAGAACTCATTTCATCGTGTATAGGTCCCATTAAACATATAATCCTCTCCTTCAATAACCGAGAGTAAATATCGTAGGCCCGTTCACCTCGACCTGTTTGTTCAATTACTATGGGAATTAAACCTAATTTTCGATTTTGGAGATAAATGGATTCTAAAGATTTCAAAAGTACCTAAAATAAACAATCAAAATTTGGAAACTAATCGTCGCTTAAGTAACTTACCCCCCTAGTGCACAGTATTTTCTTTAAGAACATATTTAAAATATTATTATTTATTTATATTAACCGATTTTTAGGTTAAGTGAACAGCAAAACAGCATAGACGAACTAATTTATCATTGGTGTTTAATAAGTTTTGGACAATTGTACCAACATCATTTGTGAAAAAAAAATATTTGCTTCTTCTTTTCTCTTTTACTGAATTTTTGTAACAGGCATCCAGAAATGTTAACATTTTGATCCGAAAACAGAGACAAAAAATACCCTCAAGAGGGAATTAACTATAAAAGAAGACCACTGAACCCACTAACACAATACATGTTGGAATGAATATATTTACTATTAGTATTTTATATATTAAAGACAGGGTAATTCTGCAGTTTACGTATTTAATACATGGGATCATAGATAATAGAATTGGAAGTTGGCGCAGCCACATAATTTTGTAGCAATTTTTCGTTACCCAAATATTTCATTATCATTTCTGTGATAATTTTAATGCCTTCATTGCATCCTTTCTAGAGTTTCTGAACTTTTGTATTCATCTGTCTTTCATACCTTGAAATTTTTGTGGGTAGCATTTCAGGCGGCAGTTCATTCTTTGTGTGCTGAGAATTTTAAAATTATGTTTCATTGTTGGTTTCATAAGCAACAATTGCTATTTTCGCGGCATATTAGGTTCCTAATGCATCCTAAATGTATTAAACAGATTAGAATCGATGCAAGACTTTTCTTTCGGAACCGAGCGTAACCTTTTAATTTATTGGCTATTGTTTTGATTGGCTAAGGCGTAAGGTTTGTTTTTGTAGAGCAGAAGCATACTTTTATTTGCGCATTAGTAAGAACGGCTTCACAAAAATAGAGTCAAAGTCAACAGTATCGGCATGACCAGCCCTCTATAATTATATTAGCTTTTCAACAAAAAAAAGCAGACTGATAATAAAAGTGGAATTTAAATTTGAAAAATGGTGTCTGTTTTTAACGCTGTGTTGTTTTTCTGTGCCAAGGAAATTTCTGATCTGGGTCAGAATACTCACAATGTAGCAGAGAAATATTTAAACGATTTTTTTGAAAATCGCAATAACAAGATTTTTTGTCGTTCATTAGTGGAAACGCTAGAAGATGTTAGCCAGAAAACATTACTGTGTGCAATAGACTTGCGAAAACATATTCCCGAATTTGAACCTGAATATAACGAAATCTTGGAAAAACTAACCAATTTAATAGGAAACAATAATTGTCATTACGCAAATAAAACAAAAGAAGATTCAGGTAACAATGACAGATTTATAGGCAAATTGCCAAGTATTTAGTCTTGTATTTAGTTTATTTGACACCACTGCCAATGTCAAATTAGTATTTTTAAAATATATAATTATGTATATACAGGCCCAGTCATACGATTAATTGAAAACATGGTGGTAAATGTTAGTTGTTGAAAAATGTGAGATATTGAAAGTAAAAAAGGTTTGAAATTCGTAGTCGGTATTAGTTTAACTATTGAACCAACATAGAGGGTGGTTCATAGTTAATACTTATAAGATTTTTCTTAGTCTGTACTTTAAAGCATAAGAGTTATTTTCTTTTCTCTCACGAAATATTGCGAATAATGTATGGGGTGACCTGGTTACTATGAAATGACACTTTATCTCAGAACCTGTAAAGCATAAAAAAAAACTAAAAACATTTTTTTCTATTCGCTTAAAGTAACAATTTTCTTATTTTAAATGGAGCACCCTGTATATTAAAAAACAATTCCTCGAAACTTTCTAGACATATTTCGTATGTAATGTTCAATATTTAAGTCTGAGCATAAGTCCTACCGTTTCTGTCATATATGTAGGTCTAAATAAATGTTAATAATTTAGTGCACGGTCTATGTTTTAAAAATAAATAAATATAGGGTGGTTAGGAGTAACATTAAAAATTTAAATGAAAAAAATCTCTGATAGTAATTTTTCAAAGAAACTTCCACGGGCTACTGTAATACTTTTTACAAAACTTCTTTATTCCTCCTTAACTGAAGCTCTGAAGAATCCAACAGGATGTTTTGCGAAACGTTAGCAAGTTCAACTCAACAACAACCAAAAAGTTGTAATAAAGTTCAAATAAACCTATGTCGTAAGAAATTTGGTATGCGTCCTTTAAGCATTAGTCCCTTTTTGATGTAGAAGATTGTTTTAATTTCTTAACCAATGACGTCTGAATAAGCAGGATGCAGATTAAATATTTTTGGGAAAATATGCACGTCAGTACTTTTTCTTAAAGTAAAGATTCTTTTTATAAAACTTCTGGATTCCTCGTGCGTCGGTTTTTGTTGAGTCGAACTCGCTAACGTTTCGCCAATCATTCTGTTGGCGAAACGTTAGCTAGTTCGACTCAACAAAAACCGTTGCAGTAGGAATCCAGAAGTTTTATAAAAAGTATGACAGTAGCCTATGGAAGTTTCTTTGAAGAATTAAAATGAAGATTATTTCATTTTTATAGTAAGTCTGGTTTCTCAACTTTTCTCATACGCCGGTTTCCATTACAAAACGAACAATATTGTTTTCCCAGGACTTGTACAAAGTAAAGGATCCGAAAAAAAAAACTATTTTTATCTTTATATGGAATACTGCCACCGGGTTTATGACGTTAGCTTGGTAGATAAAATGATACTTGTGCTTAAATTTATGAATTATTTTTATTGGTTATGTTTTTTAGGAGACATTGAGCTTTCGGAATATAGCCTTCACATTAGTAAGTGGGTGGTATTGTTTTAGCGGTAACGTTTAGATATTTTATCTAATTTCAGATTCCGTAAAAGACGAGAAAAGTACGTTTTTAAAACTCGCATTTCTCTTTTGATTCAGAACAATTTATCTATCTTCCTCTTTTACGATATAGACCGAGCATCATCTGAAGAAACTGTATTCTACAACCCGAAAAATGTTGGTGCATCTGATCATGAGTTGATTTATACACCATCTCAGAATGATTGCTTTGCAGCTTCTACTGTTACTGCTTTGACGCACGTCAGTCAAGATCTTGAACTGGAAGCTGAGCCACATTTCACAGGCAAGACTGTCGATTATTGGTATCAACGTAGATCATTTGTTTTTTTGTAGATTCCTCCAGGAGCTCACCTGATGGCAAGAACATTCAAGTTACAAGGCACAATGGCACAATTCAAGGTATAAAAGAAATTAGTAGATCACGTTCAGCTGAATCTTCTGTTGATATAGATACCCACCTTCCATCATTTTATTCACTTCATCAAAAAAGTTTTGTATAGAATACTAAGCTGGCAAAAAACATTGCCAACTCCATACAAGTTGGCTTGAATAGGGTTTATAATGAAAATTAGTAAAATAAAATACAAACGAGTCACAATTAACTAGGTCATGGTCAAAATTAAAGATGCCGTATTTAAACGACCAGCAAATCTTTGGATCTCAACATTTCTATGATTAACGACCTTGGATGGCGGGTACCCTGGTCTCTTAGGGTTAGCTTGTCTTCTGGCTGCCGGTTCCTTCCTTGCCGTCTCTTAAATGCTTGCCATGCCAGTAGGATTCGCATTTATGTACACACATGTACACAATAATAATATTCAACTCTGTGAAGTTGCTTTTAAATAAACATATTGGCGAAATTGGAATCAGATCTGTTAATTAACTTTGTTTAAATTATAGACAGTGGCCGTTTTACGTGACACCACTGTCATTATTTATTATACTTTGATACTCAAAAGTATACTGAGTAATTTGTGAAAAACGCCTAAATTTATTTGGCCGATTATTCCAATAAAGACAATTTCGAACCCGACGTTTCATGGTCATCTCCAACATCTTTTTTTAATGTTTTTTTATGTTTATGGGTTCTTCTCAATTTCGCAAAAATAACTAATAGTAATAAATTGTTTTATTGCTAGGTTACAAACTAGGGACAGAGAGGCATAGAGAATTAAGCTCTAGACGAAACGTGATCTTTTAAAGTTCGTAATTATTATATAAATAAAAGAATTTCCACTATAATTACTAAATTCTATAAAAGGAAAATGTCAGTAAAGATTTGCTTGTCGAAATCAAATTAATATCTAGTAGCAGCCCTAATTTTATATAATGTGACAATTTTTTTTTCTGAACACCTCTATTCAGAGAGAAAAATAAATTAGAAAATCTCGAAATTTGGTTGAGTGTTGAAGAATCAAGAATAAACAGTGAACATTAAAGTGAAGCGTTAAGAAACAGGATTAAAGAAAAAGTTATAAAAATACTGAACCTGGTTTTGATTTTGATCCAAAAAGCTAATATGACAAATAATTTTAAGTATTTGTGGCATTTGATTCTAGAATCCGGAAAAAATGATTCTGATCAAGAAGAGTTATATAAAGTTATTAGGGAAGAAAAATTTATACCCTCAACACCCCTCAGGAAGGGAAGAAAGAAAACAGAAGATACCAAAGCACTGGAAGCTTATAGAAAACTAATAGAAGATAGCGACGACTATAGTTCTTCATTATATTCAAATGATATCGGTGACCTAAATGAACTTTATGATAATGCTGAACTTTTAAATAAGACTTCAACAATGTATTCTGAGGACAAAAAAAAATTTGGTATAACCAAAGAGCTGCACATACAGATAAAGCAACTGGACAAAAAAGAATTCAATGTGAAAAAATTGCCTAAAAATAAAAGAGAAGCTATTGCAATAGACAGGTGCATATAATACAGTGGCTCACATATATATATATATATATATATATATATATATATATATATATATATATATATATATATATATATATATATATATATATATATATATATATATATATATATATATATATATATATATATATAGTTTATTTCTAGGTTATGCAATTTGAGCACGGTTTTGCGGAAACGTCGACAGTTCCCATCTAGTCGACTGGATCGCAGTGCAAAAACAACTCGACTTCCATTGAATTCGTCTGAATCATCTGAATGCTCTGATTTCAACACTTCACTCAGTACAGTAGTCACTCAGCAATAAAAGTTTCAATATATGTTGTATGGTATGTGAAATCCTTAACACCATATGCAGCTACTAGAAATATAAAAACTTAGTCTTTGCTGGTAATGCCAGGCATTATTGAAGCCAACACAAAGAAAATATTTCAACCAATAAAACTTTGTTTTTTTTTTCTGGGAAAAAACAAGCAAAGCGTATGGAAATCACTGTGCAGAAATGCGCTATACGATTATCTCGTTAAATTGTAAAATATGATACTTGACAATTATCTTTGCCATAAATTGTAGTTTGTTATTATTTCATACATACTCTTTCACTGTCACAGGTTGACAAAGTTATAATTACTGAATTCAGATACAACTTTACATTAAATTAAAATCTTGACTCCTAAGGATATGCATAGCGCATGCTGCTAATTATGCTGCTATTATGCATATGCCAGACGCTCGGATATTGTTATTTTTTTTATTCCTTTCTTACCTGATTCGCAAGTTGTTTACTTAGGAAGAAGCAACGTAATTTATATTAAGCAGATTTATTGACGGTACTCACTGATTTCAATATATATATATATATATATATATTTCGGTATTTCAGTTTTGGACCAACCATCAACAAGCAACTGCGATTTAAATCCTCGGCATTGCAGTATTTATGTTTTAGGGTAGAATCGATTTTTAATAATCCCTTTACAAATTTCTAATCCTAAGAAATAATGCGTAAATGAATTTTACTTAATTCTCGTTATTATAATGAAACTAATTTTGGATTTTAATAAAGAAATTTGAGAAATTGGAGATTTTATTTTTCTTATATTTACCCTTTTTTCATTTTTTCATTTTTTCATTTTTCATATATTTTTTCATATAAACCAGCGTCCATAATACCCAAAGACATTAAACCAAATAATATCAGCGATAATATCACACTTTCAGTCTCAGAAACTAAAGCAAATACATACATCGGAAAACTGTGCAGCTCTGAGCTTGCCCGATGATTTTTTGAGATTATCTTTAAATTACATTGTATATATTTTTTATTTTTTTACTATGCTAATTTCTCTATTTGTGTACTTAAATAAGTCAAAATCATAATTTGCTACAACAACGTTATTTTGTAGTAGCAGAAGTCTTAAGGTGGCTTCCCACGGCCCGTAAATTTACAGGCCGGGCAGCGCGTAGATCGGAACGAGCTTCAGGCGGAACTCTTCCCACGACGCGGCGTATTTGTGCCCAAGTACTTTTTCAAAACAAATCAGCTGTCTACATATTTTTGTGTTTACTGGTGTTCGGGGTTGGTCATTGCTAACAACTTGTTTTTGGTGATTATCAGTAATGTCGGAAGAAGAAAAAACTGTTGCCGCAGCCGCTGTCACACATAATCGTAATGCCACCAATACTGTCTTTTAATTTATCTTGAATACGACGCCGCGAATCGTGGTGCTCGTTTCGGTTTTTATGACAGTCACTTTTTGTATTCCATAACGCGGATTCATTTTCATATAAATTAATAAATGTGTAAGTAATTTCGTTCGTCCAATCCATATTAACGCTTAAAAACACCCAAACAACTTGTAGAGCCGCAAAAACCTAATAACAACAGGTCTGCACAGGAATGAACGCACCGCGCCGTTTCGCGCCTTTGAATTTACCGACTCGGTGCGGATCAGTCGCACCTCTTCACGCCACCAATGCACCGTAGGAAGACAGTCGGCTGAGGTGACGCACGATTCGCGGAGTCGTATTCAAGATAAATTAAAAGACAGTATTGGTGGAATTACGATTATGTATCACAGCGGCTGCGGCAACAGTTTTTTCTTTTTCCGACATTACTGATAATCACCAAAAACAAGTTGTTAGCAATGACCAACCCCGAACACCAGTAAACACAAAAATATGTAGACAGCTGATTTGTTTTGAAAAAGTACTTGGGCACAAACACGCCACGCCGTGGGAAGAGTTCCGCTTGAAACCCGTTCCGATCTACGCGCTGCCCGTTTTCGCGTCGCTGCGCGGCCCGGCCTGTAAAATTACGGGCCGTGGGAAGCCACCTTTAAATAATACAAATAACGTATCAAGCGACAGGGAAAAGTGACGTCGCTGCTTGCGCTAAAATAGTGGAAATAAATAGCTGAAATAGCAGTGTTCTGTGGTTAACAGCCCTTAACCTAGGCCATTCTACAAATAAAAAGGATACCTACAGACCTACAGCTTGAAACCTAACATGATAGTGAATCAAGTGTACGAAACAACAAATGTTCACAAGGGCCATATTTAATGTATTTTATCTGGAAAAATTATTGTTTCTGTACACGTTGTATTTTGGTATATCTAACAAAAATATTTTATTCAATAATTATCCTAAAAAAATGCGATTTTTAATACTAGCACTCTATTTTATTTAGCAACTAAAGAAGTTTGGTGGTACCAACCAAATGCAAATATTTTTTAAATTCCAAAACCACAACTAACCTTACGTACTTACCTTAGATAAACTAAATGATGAGTGCCGCAGTGGTAAACAAATGACGCTGATGAATACGTTTATTATTTCTTAAAATATGATTTATTCCTCAACAAAAACACAACAAAATTGCGAAATTGTCAATTATTAACAATTAGGAAATTGGGCAAACTAAATCTAAGGTTATAACAGTTTTTGAAAACACTCTTTTCTTAAACTAAATTTTACCTAAGAATTCCTTTTGTTAAGATTCCGTTGTCCGTTCAGGTGGGCACATATTTATGCCCTTAATGTCAAAACCGCTGCAAGCCACGTGGCGAACGACTACCATTTACCGCGCACGTTGTCTTGAACAAAGAGTATAAGATAGAGGGAAAGGTCGCGTATAATCTTACAAATGCCATCTAATATTTGTGTCCAAGTACTAAACTACTGTCATGGCGATTTAAAGTAATGCGTCACACTGAAAATACTACAGTAGCTTCTAACGGATAACAGCACCATATTTCGACATATTTTTTTTTTCACACTTTATCTTTCAAACTTTAAATTGAGTTGAACCGTACGTCCCGCGCGTTTTCCGTTTCATGAATGGACTCAATCACTAGAGGCGTTGAAACTCGTTTATGCTTTTTAACATTGCCTCTAATGGGAGCCTTCACCTCTATTTTATACTCTTTGGTCTTGAACATGGCCCTGGAGCGCCTACAATACAATTATGCGTTTCACAATTACTGTTGGGCTCAACTGCTAGGATCATTTGCCCATTGCCGACTTCCGTCGTACAAAGAAGAAAAATAACCAAAATTTGCTTAGCTAGTAAAACACAGTTTTGACCGATACCATTAAAAACCGGCATCCCCCGCTTCCACCCCGGACCATCCGGCCTCCATACCGGGTTGAACGGTTAAAACAGCGGGGCCGACGGAACTTTTACACTTAAAACGAACACCAAACACTGCCGAAACAGAGTCACACAAATTGAAGACCGATACCAAGGTTTTTCGGACGAATACAGCGGATTCTGCTAGGAGCGAACGGAGTTGAAACCACTGCGTGCAATGCTCCACCTCAAAATCCCCCTGGAGCCAATCCCGCATATGAGCCAATAGCCGATTTCTCTTCCATGCACATGGAACAAAATAACGAACAGGATCGCGCAACATTTTCTTGCATGCACCATACATAAATGCGATGTTTCTGGTAAAATATTTTGTTCCTTGTTTTCTTCAAGTCTGTACACATGTTTAGGATTCTGTCAAAACTTTTTTCTATGGTAAATATTAATTATTTGATCTGAGATGGCGGGATTAAAGTTTGCTAAAACACACTGAATCGTAATAGAATTCCATTTCAATTCGGAAAATAATGTCGAGTTTTGAAACTGTGTTGGTTTCCTGTGCAAAGGAAATTTCCGATCTGAGCGATAATATGCGTAAAGTGACAGAGAGAAATTTAAAAGAATTTTCTGAAAATCGAGACAACAAAAATTTTTGCCGCTTATTAGCAGAAACTTTAGAAGACGTTAACAACAAGGCTTTACAATGCATAAAAGACTTGAGAAACAATATTCCCGAGTTTGAACCCGAATATAGCGAAGTCTTGGAAAAACTAAACAATGTTATACATGCAGGCAACAGATGCAATTCCACAAATAGTGATGCAGTTAATAATGTAAAGGAAGATTCAGGTAAATGTAATGGATTTGGACGTATACAATTTAGTTACTGTTTGATATGTTTAGTATATAATTAGAATAAAATTTAATGTTGTACAATATTAACTTTAAATAACTCGATTTTAAATTATTTCAAAGAGCATTGTGCTTAATTATAGGGCATCATGGTTTTATTCCCAAATCTTTTTGGAATATTGTAAAAAGAAGTTCAATCTAAGCGAAGTAAGGAAATATATCAACAAAAATACAGATTATATGTGGGCCATATAACTTAATTTTTCTTTGATATTCACCGAAAAATTATCAAGAAATTGCCTCAGTGAAACATTTCAGCAAAAGCTTTTATGCATATCTGTTATTTTCAATTATAAGGTTGGGGATGTTATTAAAATTATTTAATACACAAATAAATATAGTCTTAATTACTGGTCTTATTAGAATGATCTCAAATTATATTATTTTTCCCTTTACAAACTTTTTTAACCAATCCACTAGAGAGTAACTTTTAACAGCAGCGGACGAAAATTGAAGGTTATTTCTGTAGCTCTGCCAACCTGACTTATAAATAATGTGAAAAACTTGGAACAAAATAATTTGCCAAATTTTACTCAATTTGGTTTTAGGAGCTGTATAAGCTCCATAAGAATGGTTATAAATACATGTATTAAAATACTAAATTCAGAATATAATCAGCAAAAATATATTGGACCTTTTGTGCAACTTATGCAAGGCTTTTTGTCGCCTTTAGTCCAGTAGCCAAACTAAGCAGTACAGATTATCTAAAGTAAGCACAGGCCTTTAACCTACAGAAAGCAATTGAATTCAACTGTAAATACACAATTTTTAGAGGTAGTTTATGGAGTGCTTTATTGCTTAATGTTCCATCTTAATTCTACACACAAAAAGAAAAGAGTAAAGATATAGAAAACTTATTTTTAAGAAATGTTTTTGGGTATAGAACCTTTAACGAAAAAGCGAGGCGCAATGAATTATATTTTTTTAATGGAATCATCAAAGTTTAATATTTTTTCAGTCAATTCACTATGAAACTATATATTAGATAGTGTATAAGTCGGCATGTCAAGTTTAAAAGACTTCGGTGATCACTCTCTGAAGGCCGACAGTATTCTACATAGTAAACCTTCTCATCTTTGCCGTTGGATCTGACATTACACTGTAGGTCCCTTCTATCTGTGCATCTACTTTAAAACGCGCATAACACAAATAGAGAGGTCTCCAAGGCCCAGTATTTGGATATGGCACATTAAGAAGTGTATAAATACAATTTTTTGGTTGAAGCTTTTCTATTAAGTAGACTGAGAAGAGCAATGGTATGGAAAACCTGTTTTTAGTACAATAGGAATGCGGCAATCTTCAGCTCCAAAAAGCGATATTTTTCAATTATTGAAATTTTTCAGTAAAAGTAAAAAGAACACTATTGTGAATAATTTGTTCAAAAGCAAAATTATTTATTTCACTCTCCACTTCCTGCAATGGTTTACATGTCTTTTTATTTAAATTAAATTAGGTATACGAATTGGTTGTGTGTTATGTGACTTGGATAGTAGTGGATTAGTGCAATGGAAAATTGATGAAACTCTGAGATTATATGAAGAAATGGTTCAACTTTGTAATTAGTAATTAATTTTTATACCTGCTCCGTCAAGTTCAGTCCTAGTATAAATTGCATATTTTTGGGGGATTTGTCCTTCAGATTTTGAAGCTCTATGATGGCTTTAGCTAGTTTTCCCACTGACGGGCATTGACTCAGTATATGCAACTTCGTTTCTTCAAGTTTCATGTTGTGCGTCTTTACTTTTTTTATGTTTTCTCTTTTTTTTATATAATGTGCATTATAGCTATATCGTTATTTGGTTTGTATTAAATTGGTGGACAATTTTGCAATACAGACGTTTTAAAAAAGTAAGTCGCTGATTTTGTGGATATAAACTTTTTCTCGCTTTCCTCGATACAGTTCCTCTTTTCTCACCACACCAAACTTTGTATGATAACTGATTAACTCATTATTTACCTCCGCTTTTAAACCAATCTTTGTCTGAAACTATAATGTACTGCCCTAGTGATATTAGGGTATCTGATCATCAGATGATTTATACACTCAGAATTGTTTTGCGGCTCTCACTGTTTTTGCTGTGCCACACGCAAGATCTTGGAGAACTTGATGTTGAACTAGTCGCAAGCAAGAATGCAAATGATCCTGATCCCGATCCTGATTACGATTCTTTTGAAGAATGGAAAGGGAAAGGGAAAATAATATTGTTAATATTAATATTAATATTGTAAATAATTTTTGTTGTTGTTTTATTTTTTTTTATTAATTTTTTTCCATACCCTACTCTGAAATACACAAATGTCACTTGAAGACGTCGGCTTATTTTAGTCACGAGTTTGGGAGCGATCTGATGTTTCCAGTATATCTTAGCTATGGTATTTTGACTTGCTAATTCTGACGGTCGCGGTCAAATGAATGTATTCCTGTCGTTTTGCAAAAATATACCAAAAACTTAATGGTCGTAAGAAAGGCATACTGGGCAATTAACTCTGATAGACTTCTTCATACATTCTTTATAAGAGGGTGGAAACGCTATTATACATAATGTCTAACGGATTTGTAACAAATGTTTGACAAGTTATAATAAATGAAAAAAGTATGAACCAAAAATCATTATTTAGGTAAGCAAATCTAAACTATGAAGCAATAGTATATTATGCAACAAGTGCGGTAAACGGCATTTGACTCACGAGTTTATTTGACACGAGCGGAGCGAGTGTTTAATAAACGAGTGACTTAAAAATTTACCGAATGTGTTGCATACTATACTTTTTTTATGACCTTTAGTTTTTGGGTACATTTTCGCAAAACAATACCAATACATTCACTGACAAGACCATCAGAATTGACAAACGTCAAAATTCAAAGCGTGGAAACTATCTCCCAAAACATTCGATTGCTGTCAAACCCGTGCAGTAAAATCTCGGAAATGTCTGAAGTGGCTCGAATTCGTGGGAAACGAAACTGACGTGGTAAAGGGACGCTTCCCGCACGCTAGATCGGTGTGTAGATATTTTACAGAGGGGAGGGGAAAAAGAATTATTTATTTATGTAATGGATGATTTTGTTTAGTTTATCCACAATCATTATTTAAACCTATTAACTAAATATTGGATATTTTGTTGTAGTGCCGTTATCTACTATTATAGTATAGGAGTTTCCAAAATGAAAATGCAGTTTGGTAATTTTTTTATACGTTTTTTCCAATGTCAGTACGACCTTAAGTTTGGAAAAGCAATTTGAAAACTTTGATAATTTGACATTGGAGTATTAAAGTAACAAAAATGTTAATGTTAAATGTTAACAAAAATTTCGTTAAACCGTTAAATTCTTTCGGAATTATTTTTTTAAGAGAAATTTGCACTTAATAAAATCCGAATAAAGCCTTAGTAAGTTGATGGTATTGCTTTAGCAGTAAAGTTTTTTTTTGTTCCAGATGCAGATAATCAGATTGGTACGTATGCCTTTTATAACTCGTGTATGATCTGTTATGCTTTCAAAATCTGCAAATGTCAAGATTCAGCATACATTTTTGTTTATAATATATGTATGTGCCTATTAGCTGTTTGGGTGTTTGAGTTATATTAGATTTTTGGACAAAAAATTTTTCCATGCAGACGTTTTAAAACAGAAAAGATGTTAGATTTAGGGTTTATTTTTCTTTTTTTTTTTGGGTTACATTTTACGGTATTATTTATAAAATTTGTGCCATCAGCAATGAGATATGTTGCGAAAATAGTGACCTAAAAATGCCACATCTTAACTGAAACATGTGGAGTTGACAAACACTCTGCGGCCTTCTTAGTTGTTGAAAACGAGATTTCAAATGTCCGCGAAGGCACATATTAAATTGCCTTTCTCATTTTTATTTTTCATCATCGCTTCAAAAATACATGTGTTATCAGCATGCAGACAGGGCTTCTATATATCTAGTAGCTATAAGAAGAACCCGACCACAACTAAGGTAGGTTGCTTTTTCTAATAATCTCTCATCGCTGGTTAATTTTTGGTTACCTTTCCTCGATACAGTTCCTCTTGTTTCACCACGAAAAGCTTTCCCTTCTTTTTCTTCGATTTTAGACCGACCATTATCTGCGGAAACAGTATTGTACAGCCCGACTGATATTAAAATATCTGATCATGACCTGAATCTAGCACTATCGGGCAGTGATTGTTTTGCGGCTTCTACTGTTACTGCTTTGACCCACGTCAGTCAAGATCTTGGTGAACTGGAGGTTGCGCCAGCGGTCACAAACAAGAATGCAAATCATCCTGATCGTAATTATGGCTCTTTTGAAGATTCCAGTGAGACAATTATTAATACACAAGAAACAAAGAATAATATTGTTAATGAGGCAATTCAAGGTAATTTTTTTATTAATTTTCTATTAAAATTCTTGTATTGTAAAGTCTAAGTCATTTTATCAGAATAGAATAGAATAGAAACTATTTTTGCAATTATATTTAGACACAAAAAATGATACATCGTCAGCTGTGGAGCATCTGGAAGAGGAAGTTAGTTGCTCGCTGTCATCTGAATCTTTTGTCTTTGACGACATATTGAGAACTGAGACAGGTATTTTCCAATAGGTTGTTATTCTGACTGTTCATTTGCTTCTGTTTACCAAATATTTTTGGAGGTTTCCTTTTTGTTCCGAACGATTTTTACGATAACATTAAAGTAACTTTTTGAGAAAAAAAACGAAGTGACATTTAAGTTCATGCATGAAATTCCATAGCCTCCGGAGGTGTATCAATTTAACCCTATTTTATATTATGAAACAGAGGAATGGGTAAACCTTGATTAAAAATTCCATAAAATTTTGTCATTATTGCACAATTTAAATAACACACGAAATATTCTATTTCAATTCATAATAATAGCGACTTATGATGCAACCACAAACATTCAGAATTCCCAGTTTTTTCTATCGGCGACACACTATATTATTAAAAACGATGGTATATAATATTATGTAGTATAGTGTACACTGATACTATAAATTAAATATTTTGGTTTGTAGTTTTCAATTTGACTAGCTAGATATATTATCATTATTTTGGATAATCTTCCTTTACCCATCGTATAAGATTAAAACTGATTCAGAGATTTCTTAAGATACCAAACTATAAAGGTATATGGCAATCAGTTTGCTTACTGCTCATATTTTTAGTTTACTAAGGAATTAACGATAACTGCCTTAGAAGCTTGTTTCTTAGTTCTTTTATCTATAAACGGGTATAGAAACATCCACTACATGGTTCTCATATTTGCATAATAACTTCTTGTTAAGTAGTCGTTCCTAACAGTGAATTTAAATCCAAAATTTCTTTTGCTTTATCTAACGTACCCAAGAATATCAAAATGAAATGCATGCACTTCTCATTTGTGTGAACAAAGTAAGCAAAGGATTAGTGTCCGAGTCTTACCATTGCTTATATTTTGTTGTTTTTAGAATTTCCCATCATAAGCGATACAAACACTCCTCTCAGCAATGGCAACAAGAAGTACCAATGTAAATACTTTTTCTTCTTTATCTGCGAAACTATATAAATGGTTTGCAGGTGGCGCTTCTTCTCTTTCATGCGAGCTTGGTGACTCAAGATCCCCCAACATTTCAGAATTGACTAGTAATGGTGATGGAGCCAGTAATCATATTGGTATTGTATATCCATATATTTTTAAATATGGACCATGGATATCAATACATTCCCGCTGGTTCTTTCGTGGAATATTAATTATGGCTTTCTTTTAATAGTATGTTATGCAACAAGTGTGGTAAACGGCATTTGAGTCACGAGTTTATGTGGCATGAGCGAAGAGCAGCGGAGTGAGTGACTTAAAAAGTTTGTCAAACGTGTTGCATTACATAATTTTTCTACGACTATTAATTTTTGGAAATATCCGAAGTGGCTCGCAGCCGTACGAAACACAAGTGAAGTGGTAAAATGACACTTTCCGCACGCTAGATCGGTGTATAATCGGTATTTTACAGAAGAGTAGAAAAACTAATTTTCAGTTAAATAATTATAATTAAATAAGTCGAATTATTCGTGCCACCGATACCGAGTTTTTTTTTCACTTTGCTGAAAAGCATTTTCTGACAAGACAAAAATTTATTTCTTTACATTGTGGAACGCCTTCGATCAAACTAGGCAATCCTCAGAATTGACATTACTAAAGTAAACTAAGGTAAAATTGTAAAAAAGGAAATAATAAATATCTTACCCTCAAATTCCACGAAGCGCACTCCCAATTTTGTTAAAATGATTTTTATTGAAATTATATGATAAGTTATTTAAGTGCCTAAATTTGTTAGAATAAAGCAATTGCCAATTTTGTTATCAGAGTTCAAAGTATAATTATACCAGGACCGCACCACATTTGGGCTTAAATGTTTGGAATCTTGCTTTTTTCATTAAGAATGTATTATTATTATAATATTTATTTTCTGCAGGGTTCAACTGGATACCCAGAAATTATCGTCTCCTGGATATTGGCTACAAAATTTTTGTTTTATTTGCGAAATATTTTATTAAATTCAATAGATTTTTTTTTCAAACCAAAATGTCTTCAGATTTTGTACAATAATGAATGACCTACTACGAATTACTTCTTCAAAATCACATGATAATGGAGCATTTCAGAATTTAATAACTATTAACAAATTGGGAAAAAATAATGATTTAACTTAACTAACTTAGCGGAACTCCAGTCCAGTAAAATTCCACCTTCCTGAACTTTTTAGGTTTATACAGGCGCATTCTATCTATACAGGCGATGGACTTACTGAACAAGGAACCACCAAAATTCGGTCCAGATCAAAACCGACATTTATGTTTTTTTTATATAAAATGGTTATGTATACGTATATACAGACTTTCTGTTATGAATGGAGGCGGTCGATTATCTCCTAGAGTTAGAGGGCTATCAAAAATTGCCCTATATAAAAGATATAAAGCAATAATAGAAACATAATTATACATTTTTTCCGAAAAAATACGACACATAAAGTAACTTTTTAAAATGGAACACCCTGTACATCATTCGATACTTCAATTTCCTCTCAATATTCTGCAAATAATGTTACGTTTTTTAATAATTCAACATCAATAGTTTATAATTTTCAGATTTCTTAATGCCTGAAAACTCGAGATCATCAGAAGACTCGAACCATAGTAAAATATCTCTCAAGGGTCGGCTACCGGAAAAAGAACGAAAATCCTTATTTAAATTGATTGCCTCGTACTACCGACAAAAAGAAAAGGAGAAAAACGATAAACAGAATAAAATGTTAAACGCAAAAAATGAAATAATTAATAGAAAGGTTCAGACAAATGCAAGTGATGAAAGTTCTATAGGCATTCATCAAGACACGACAGTTAGTTTAAAGCAAATCAGTAGAAATGAAATTGAAAACATACAGGAGACTTCAGTTGAAACAAGCATTGCAAGAAATGAAGAAATTCTTGAAGATGTAAGCCAAAAACAAATTGGAGAAGTTGTTTCAATGGATATTGATTTTCCACAAAATTTGAATGAAACACATTCCATAGAGGGTCTAAGAAAAGCGGATACGGATTTACATATTGAAAAGGGTAAAGATAATTTAAAACAATCTGATGCAGCAAATACCCTAGATTTGTCAAGTATTACAAGCAATCTCCCAAAGAATTATCCAGATTTAAAAAATGAGGGAAATATATCTGCGAACAAGCAAATTCTTGGAGAATGTAATGGTGGTACTATAAAGCAGGCATCACCCACTCTACAAAGTTTAGTTAGAGAATTGGAAGAATCCTTTGATAATATCAACCACATTCACAACGATTCTCCAGATGATGTTATTTGCAATAGTAAGGATGAAAATCCCTTTGTTATAGAAAACCATAGTGAATCACAGAAAAATGGTCGACCCATGGATAACTTAGATAATGAAGCTACTCCAGCTCCTCATCATGACAACCCCAGTAGTAGTGATGAAACAATAATTACAGGATTAGGTTACCAATCTGAGCTCTGTAGGTCTTCTCTAGATCATTCAGAAAACAGCAGTGAAGAAACTGTGATTGAATTGGATAACATTGCAAAAGATATAGACCATATATTAGAAAAAACTAGTCAAACTAGTGAAGGCAGTGTGAATTCCAAAGTAAGTCATTCATTAAAAAATTCGGGTCAGACATGTTCCATTGATTTGTCCAACCACTACAGTAAAGGAGGTGAGGGCGTAACTTTATCAAAAAAACCAGTTCAAAAAATTTCACCACTAAGTTCTGATCAGGAAAGCTGTAGTGATAATGAGAATGTAGCTCCCCTGAGGAAACCACTTCAAATGATATCTTCAGAGAGTTCCAACCAAGAAGGTAATGAAAGTCCTGTATACGCTAAAATTCCCAACATGCAAGACGAGGAAATCGAAACTCAGAAGAGCGTTTCAGTTGATGAGAAGTGTCAAAAAACAATGTGTCCGGATGTATATATGGGAAATAATATTGTTAAATCTGTTTGCTCTCAAGGCAGTATAGGAAATGAAGAATTTACTGAAACTGCGGTTACTGTTATTCAAGCAATTACTAATCAGAAAGATAGCATAATTCATGCAGAGAACAAAGAAACTATAATTGAATTGGATGATATTGCTAAAGATATAGAGGATTTATTAGTCAAAACAAGCGATCAACCAAATGTAGTTTCTTATGAAGCAGATTCTTCTACTGATTGTAGCATCCTACAAAACAAGAGATCCCCAAAGAGCATTGTTCATGCCACTAAACATTTGGATATGAATGAAAATACCTTGCCCGAAGTTAATTCGAAGAAACAAATAGCTGAAGAAATCTCAGAATTACAAGTCGAGGTAACTGCCGAAAAATCAACCGGTTCAGTTAATAGCGACCATTTGAATGACGTGGCAAGAGCTAGGCTTAAAGACAGGTTTAGACTTGATGACGATGAGAGAAATGAGTTGCTTATCATGCTTAATGATCATATTAAGAAAAGCCGAGTAAGCAATGATAAAGGAAGCGGGGATGATGGTCCTAATTCTACAGCCGAAATGCTGGATGATATAGATAGGGATCAACTGCTAGAACTGTTGAAGGAATACCATGAAAATTATTTGGGGGAAGAAAAAGGTAATTAATATTCTCATATTACCTAATCCAATTTTATTTTTTACTCTCCCACCTTATTGTAGGTGAATGCGAAAATACCCGGCTAAATGTTGAATTTGATAATCGTGCTTTACAAGTTGTAATTGGGGATATCGGGATACATTTTGGTGAAGGTGCGTCCATATTGTGTGGGGTGCTTATATGCATATAGATTTTTTTGTTTTAATTCAGTCATGTTTTTGCATTTTTTAGTATTGTTTTACTCGTTATTTGCATGCGAAAATTGAACTTGTTTCTTGGAAGTCTAGTGATTATGTTCGAAATGTTTGCCTTGTAAATTATTCAATGAATTATTCTGTACCTTAGAACTTAATTTACATTTTTGTTTTTTTGATCATCCTTGATTGATAATTTTCATTTGTATATAATTTTATAGAGACAATTTAGAAAACTGTTGGTTACTTATTAGTCACTACTGTCTAAATTTTCGGTTCCATGCAGATTCCTTCAATTTGATTGCCGAAAATTCGGATTAAGTTTTCCAAATTAAATCTGAAAAGCTTAAACAGATTTTAAATTCTTATGTCATTTTATTCTAGATTTTGGAGAACTAGATTCTGATCGAGAAGAGTTATATGAAGTTGTTAAGGAAGAAGCTTTTATTCCATCGGCGCCATTAAAGAGGGGAAGAAAAAAAAAGGAGTGTACTAAAGCAATGGAAGTTTATAGAAAATTAATGGAGGACAGCGACGACTTATCAGATTGTAGTATTGCATCATTATCTTCTGAGAACATAAGTAATTTCGATGAATTTGGTGAGAACGTTAGGGAGAGCAGAGCGTTAAAGGATCAGTGCGTTGAAACCATGTACACTGAAGAGAAAAGAAAATTCGGAATAACCAAAGAGCTTTATATACAGATAAAACAATTGGACCAAACCGAATTTGACGTGAAAAAATTACCTAAAGAATGGACGGTGGACAGGTGTTAAATTATGCAGTTGATGTACAGTTATTTTCAGACATAGTTTTTTTGTAGTTTATGCAATTTGAGGACTGTTTTGCAAAAACGCCGGAAGTCGCCGTCGTCTAGTCGACAAAGGCGTCGTAGAAAAAGACGTCGACGTTATTCATATTCGTCCCAAGCATCTGATAGGTCAAATTCAAACACTTCCTCTTATCATTCGCCATCTGATAGGGAAATTTCGGTTAATCGGACCTTTCCTCTCCCATCTTATTCTACCGAGGAAGCTGTTGCCCTCACTCTTTGCGAGGGCATACGCGATTCTGCGGAGGACAGTGACAATAGAGAGACGCACATGAGTGAGGATACAAAGAAAAAGGAAAACGACGAAAAGAAAATTAAATGCACTGATAAAAGTATCGTCTGTAGTAAGGTAAGTTTTTTCTTTTCACTATTATTTTTATATCCCTGTAAACTATATACAATTTTCCAACTTTTATTGAATCAAAAAACTCTGAGGGAGACCTTATAGGAAAACTCTAGTCTCTAGGTGTAGACATGTTCAATGAATTATTTGAATCTAAATTAGTCTTAAATGAAGACCACCATATACGTTATTGATTTTTCCAATTGCAAAATTTGGTTTTTAGTATTTAATACCTTGTTTTCTTATAGTGATCCTTTGTAACTTCAATTAAGTAATTTTCTTTGTAGACAAAAATACGCTTTAACAAATTTAAACATTTAATTTATTTATCTTATAAGAAAATATAGTGGCCCTACTACGGGAAAAATTGATGCGTCGCAGGTGGCTATGATATTTTCGTAGAGAAGGTGTGGATCTTTTGCGCATGCGTCACCCCCCAACTGACTGAGTTGCTACATTGCCGTAATTTTTCTGGAAAATTGATTAATTTTTATAAGAACGCAACATCAGTCTGTGAAATCCGAACATAATTGGCAATGCCGAGCTAAGTAATTACTATTGTCGCAAAACAGTCTGTGCCCTGTACTATGGTTTTCATTTTTGGTGACAATATCTCCGTGCCGTACTCACAAACCTGTATAAATAAAAATATATAATTATATACAATATAATAATATAATTATAAATATAAATATGTGGACCTAATAGGATCTTAGAAAAACAGTGATGCCTATATATTTGACATTTAACAAACTGGAAAATAGACACACAAATATTTAGATGTGAATTTACTAAACAGAATTCCCTACATTTGTAGATACACTTAAATAGTTGCGGGGTAATATGTTTTAGTGTACAAGAATTACAGCAAATATGAGAAAGCAATTAAGCTACAAGTTGAATTTTTTCACTTAGATGTTTCATGTGCGATATCTAGCATTTGAAAGTTATTTCAGTGGAGGTTAAACTTATGAGGCAACTATACGGTTTATCTATTTAAAATTGACTAGATATTTTTATTTACTTTTTGAATTTAATACACCAAAATTTTAGTGAAAAAGCAACATATACAAGTATGTTTGTAGACGAGTCGCAACCAGTCAGGATTCAGGTCAATTAGCTTATAAGCATTTTATGAATAATTTATGAATTGGAAATTAGCTGATCCAAGAAACTTTTCCCACAGTGTTCGATTGGAATTACTTAGGAAATAATTCCAATCGACGACGGCCTTTAAACCCGAATGAAGATAATAGCTTATCAACGGGCCGCGAAAGCCTTAACCAATTTATCAGTAATTTTCCATTTCGATAAATAAACTAACCTGAATCTGGTTTATTAATTTTTTATGTATTAAATTTCGTTTTAGATGAAATTGTTGAATTTAACCTAAATATTTAAGAAAGGAACAATTGAATCGCTCCGCTGTCGGACTAAAAATCCTTCACTGTCTGACTCACGCCCCACCCTGGTTCACAATTTTGGCAGTCTCGTTATTAGCAAACGAAGCGATCTTTCGATGTCAATTTTTTTCAGCGGCACCGACGTTGCCGAAATAGTAGCACCAGGCCTATTTTTTATATATCATTTAAATTTGATAGACATTATTGCATTTATTTTGTATATTTCCCTATCTTCAGTGGCCTTAGAGAAATTAAGAATTTTCTATTTTTTTATTTCAAACATTCTATTTTATTTCTATTTTAATTTATGCTATTATGGAAATTCAAAGAACTCTTAATTTGTGATCTAAAAGTTTTATACAATGGCTATGATAGTTTTGCACAGCGCATACTCATAAGTTTCACAGCCATCTCTATATCCCTAACTTGTTTGTTTTTCCTGAAAATTAATGCCATGGGTATATTTTGAAAAAATAATAGTAAAAAGTGATCACTGAAAAATAATCATTTAACAAACGAAACGTTGGATCACCAAAATTTCGACCTAAGGTAATGTTTATTGTGTCTTATCATACTATTTAACATTTCCTAATCGGTTTTACAGCCAAAATCTTCGGTTAAGAGCGAAAATATGGAAAGGAAAGCTTGGAAAAAGGATCCACTTCTTCGTGGTAAACTGCGCAGCAGTGAATCTGATTACAGCGAAAAGAGTGATTCCAGTAGGCCAAGCAGAAGAAAAAAATTTAAGTCAAAGTACGTCGAAGGACCGACCCACCCTTTTTTTATGTAAATTGGCTTTCTGCTAATTAAAAAAAAATTATATGTTGTTTAGCAATGACCAATTATAAATGAAACCTTTACTTTTTTGACCAGATTTTATGGGAGAATTCTGCTTAATGTATTTACTTTTAAATGTGAAATTCATTTTTTATAAAGGGTGAAGCAAAATATGACATTTATTTTATTACAATTCAAAAGTATGCAAAATTTAAGCACCTTGTTTTGAACCGTTGTTCTATATGTTGAAAACAACCGGTCAGATTTTTACGAAACTCCCACATTTTTTGTATATCAATAGCAAAGAAAAATGGCGCAATATATTGTTCCGACGGCGTAACATGGCGATGGGTTAAATGATCTCAAAATTGTTAAGTATTTATAGTTCCAGACAGTACCGGATTGAATAGGCATAGATTACCGGGAAATCTCTGGATTGTAAAAAAAAAGAATTAGATGGTAATAAAAAATTAATTTCACATTTAAAGGACCATAAATAAACAAAACCCCTCCCTAAGAATATTGCCAAAAAGTAAGGTTTGTATATTCTTAAAGCACTATTGAGTGGTTACGGACTTATGGAACAGTGTTCCGTTCGTCCATAAATTAGACAAAAAATTCAATTAAAATCGTTACAAAACATGTTAGAATATCTTGATCTTAATCTATATCATGATTATATCGTCAATTTACGAAAAAAGTTAAATACGAAAAAATATTGTTTTTATAAAGTTTATCCTGTATATTTTTTTGGATATGGATTCCTCATAAAAATGATTACGGTTTTCTGTAAGCGCATTTAATAAAGGTTTTAGGGTTTATATTTTAAAATTTACCTAAGATATTAATTTTTAAATACAAATATCTACTTTCCAAATATCAATATCAATCTTTAATTTTCAATACTTAGGGTTATGATAATTTTGGTTAAGTAATAATTAATTAATTAAGCAGTTTTAGTAAAATTCTTTAAAAAATTGGTTCACCTCCTGAACTCTTCAATTAGACTTTTTCATTTGAAAATTTTTGTAGGGTCGACCGCACTGAACACCGCCATAAATCAAAAAGTGATGATTCATCTTCTGATAGCGACATGATTTTTGACGGTTTTCATATCAGTAAAGAAAATACAATAAAAATTCCTAATAAAACTCCACTGCGCGTATCTGATGATAGTGAATCCAGCAGTAGTATTGAATTGTGAGTATTTAAACATTGTGGCATTAATATTTAATAAATCAAACCATTAATTAGTGTTCCACTTAAATTAAAAACGCCGGTAAAAGAAAATATCACTGATGACGATGATGTTATATTTGAGGAAAGTCCTGGTTTAAAAGGTAATTTGTACATTTGCAGCATGTTTGTCTTTGTTACTGTCTACAGTGCAGGATACAGCTTTTTATTTCGATTTAAGGTAAAGGTCGAAGGAATATAAGAGCTCTTGTGTCCGATGAACAGTTAGCAGAAGATACCCAAAGAGCCAATCAAGAAGAGAAAGAGAGAATAGCTCGTTTGGAACAAAGGAACAGTATCTTGGAGAGCTTTTCTCAATCATTTAGCAGTCAATTATCAGATGAAGTTGATTCTAATCCTCTGGGTGAGATTTTATTTTTAATTACTGGCAGAAGAACTTGATAATTTGGTTTTAATAGTGCTTGATGTTGAAAAGGACACCCTCACTCCATTGATAAAAGTTCATCATCAAATAAATAAAAAACTGAAACCACACCAAAGACTGGGGGTACAGTTTATGTGGAACTCATGTTATGAAAGTGTGGAGCAGCTTAAGAACAATTGGGAAGGATCTGGATGTATTTTGGCACATTGTATGGGCTTGGGCAAGACCATTCAAGTAAACATAAACAAACTTAATGTGTCTTTCTTTGAACGTAGAATATTTTGTAGGCTTTGGCACTTATTCACACATTATTCAGTCACAAAATTACCAATACCAAATATGTATTGGTGGTGTGTCCTTTATCGACAGTTTCCAACTGGAAAAATGAATGCCGAATTGCTTACAAAGGTGTTGATACACCTTTGGTGCCTATTAACTTGATTGGGTAAGTAGTATTATTGATCAGAATATTTATCCAATTGAGCACTATAATATATATAATTGTTTTTTTTATATCTTAAAATTCAAGGGCACATACCATCAGTATGGTTCAATATTCATTGTCAGTCTTTAATATTATTTAAATAATGGAGATGGCAATATAAAATGTGTAAAGCTCACATTCACACATATGATACAAAGTCACGGAAAACATTTCATCACCACCAAATATGTTGATTACCAGAATCATTGTTAACTGAATAGATAACTTTAGGTTTTGATATGGTACAACTAGTAAAGATTAGTTTGAGTTTATGTTTTTAATAACTTAGTTGTTAATGGCAGTTAAATGTGTCAGTTTAGTAGTTCAAGTTAATATAATTTTTTGAGATTATATTTGGAATTCGCTTAAAGTATACAATACATACAATTCAGGAATATGGGAGACAGGAGCAGTGAGTATTTTTACAAAGCAACTATAAAATTAAAATTTTATATTGAAAAAGAAATTTTTCCAAGTGTGAGAAAATTAAAATTTAGGAAATTCAAGAAAAAACTGATTTTAATCTATTAGCAGAAGTTAAATTTCATATTAATTTGGTAAAAAAGTTTTATATTACATAAGAAATCAATATAAGTAAGTATAAGTAATGTCAATTATATTTTAATTAGCGGTTAGTAAAGAATTTATAGTTATTTCTTATTGATCTAGCTCAAATTTACGCTAATCCACGCTAGTCAGTCCATGTCTACCTGTCACTAGTCAAAAAAGGGGCATGACTACTTAGGAAACTTCAATTAAAACCTAAAGTTTAATTACCTAATTATACCAGGCAAATATGTAAAAACAAAATTGAATGTAGTTTTGACTTTTGTACAAAATTACGTTAATTTTCCTTACATACATAATATTATTGTTACCTACGCAGAGTGTCTTAATGCAAGATAGATTATCTCATGGATTTTCACTACAATATAGCATCGCTACCGATTTAGAACGATTAATTCTCATTCGATGTATTTTGGAACACTTTTACGTCACAGTAAAGACAATTTTGTAAATACTTTATAATTTGAATTGTATAAATTTTATATAACACAAGTCCTGAAATACTTACCTGTGACACCCCTGACACAATACCGCACACGCGTAATTAAATTAATTGTTCATTAACTTCTTTTATAATGTTTTTTTTTTCATGTTAAACTTTCATTGCAATTACTAGACTTGCGATGAAGCGTTCGATCTACAGGAAGTTCGTCAGTTCCTTCTTGAACATTTTTTTCCACCTACATTTATCCAGTGCGACATCTAGTATCTCATTCAGTTATATGTAGACTTTTAAGAGTCATCTTTCGTGATTTCATCTATATTTACATTTTTCGTAGAGGTTAAGCCTATAAGTTTATGAAAACAAACACTTTGCGCCAATTTACACTCACAAATTTGGGAATATGGCTGTTAATTTTACCTGCCAAATTTATTGAAATTTAATTGCAGTTGCAAAAAATGCAAAATACTTACATGCAGAAATAACATGTCTACCGGGCTTTAGAAATTAGTAGTGTCCTATAGTCGATAGACAATTTTGTGTGCAACTTCATCCAAACATAGTTTATCAATTTTTTATACTCGAAATATGTTTTTCAGAAATGTATTGTACATTTATTAAGCATAGCGTTAAGTATTTAAGAATCACTAATTATTAATTATTAATTAAATTTATTATTAATTTATTATTAATTGTTAAGAATTGAATTAAATATTTTCATTGTAGAAGTCGTAAAGATACCAGTAGAAAATTTGAAATTGTAAGGAAGTGGCGCAGGATGGGCGGCATATTAGTTTTAGGTTATGAACAATTTGCAACTTTAACCGATGAAAGTAAATTGGATAAGGAAAGTCTTATCACAAAAAAAGATATGTTGGGCGCCCTAGTCGATCCAGGTCCCGATTTAATCATTTGCGATGAGGGGCATTTGTTAAAAAATAAAACGTCCCAAAGGGCTGCGTCACTAAATAGGGTAAGGACCATGAGACGGATCGTGCTTACGGGAACGCCCCTGCAAAACAATTTAATGGAATGTGAGTACTTTTATAGTTGCTTTCCATTAGTTTAATAAGAATAAATGTCCGCAGACTACTATATGGTGAACTTTGTAAAACCCAATTTGTTGGGTAATCAAAAAGAGTACAAAACCAACTTTGCTAATCCAATAAACAATGGTCAGTACGAAGATTCGACGCCAAGAGACATCCGGTTGATGAAGGAAAGGACATATGTGCTACATACCTTATTAAAACAAACCGTTCAGGTAAGCAAGTATTCTCGCTTTCAGCTTCCTCAGACAGAAATCAAGCCAACAAATTTCAAAATATTATCGAAGTGTTACATAGTTTCTGATGCTACAGGATTCTGCTCTCGAATCTCTGCATTGTGATCCATTGTGTCTTTAGCCCAAACCACTTTAATGTAACTTAATATAGATTACTGTTATTTCTTTAGTTGTGTGTAGCGTGATTTGTTGTTAGTAGCAAAATTTGTATATTTTTGTCTTTTTAAGAGGGTAGAAGACACTGAACTTAAACGGTATCTCCCTAAATTAGTGGACTATGGGATTTTCATCCACATAAGCGATCTACAAGTGCAATTTTACAACGCTTACTTAGACAATGCCCAGGCCCGTCTTGAATTCACAAAAACAGGCAACATCAACCAAAAAAATTTCCTAGCGGATGTTCAAATGGTCAAAGTATGGTTTCGTATTAGTTATGTAAGTTAAACTTTAAATAAACAAGCGAATTTTAGTACATATGCTCTCATCCATACATGATGAGTATTGCAGAAAAAAATTGTCCTAAAAAGGTGAAAGAGCGAGATGTCATTAACGACACTGTGCAAAACGAACAGGAACAGGAAATTCTTATTTCAAAAAGCAGTTGGTGGAAACCACTGTTACCAGAGGACGCCGGTCAAAGACTTGAACTTGGAAATAAGTTGATGACGGCCTTGTCGTTGGTTGAAGAAGCTGTTTCTTTGGGTGATAAAGTGTTAGTCAATATATTGGTAAAATTTAGAATACGAACTGTAAGATGAATCTTTTTAGTTTAATTTTTTCACAAAATTTGGCGGAATTAGATTGCCTGGAGCATTTCTTGAATCACCGGGGTACCTCCACTCAACCCATTTGGACTAAAGGTCAGGATTATTGCAGAATGGATGGTACCGTTTTCCCAGAGGACAGAGTTGTTATGTGTGATCGATTCAATGATCAGAAAAATAGTCGCTTGAGGTACCTTGTGTATTCAAAATTAGTTTTGCTTTTTTGATTACTACACCATACTCACCATATTTTAGTTGCTATAAAGGGCTAAAAGGAGGGAGAGTTAGAATTTGTCATATGATTGGATTGGGCTTTATAAAATTGCCGCGGGGGGCGCCGTGTTCTACTTATTTTTAGCTAGAATCTAAATCATTCAACTAATCATTTTCTCTGAACTATTAATTAATGATGGGTTCTATATGGGATGTTTCAAAATCCACGTTCTCTATTGGGAACTAATGTTTCATTTCACTAAATTGTCATTTAATAGTTATTTTTGTTACTACAATATTTTCGTTTTAATTTTTCAAATATGTTGTTAGCTTGCGAATCCCTCTGTCAAGATATAATAAAATTTTATCACAAAAACAGTATCTGTATTATTGGTTTGATTAAGAAACGTATTATATAATCAAAATTGGAAAACGCAAACATTAATTTAAAATATTTAACATAATAATGTGTAAATTATTAACAAGGAATCATAACATATGCTTAAGATGTCCTCCTTGATAATCCAAATAAAACTATTATTCTATGCATCTTATCATCTGCCCAGTGTATTAACTTTCGATGAAACTGTAATGATGTAATATGTCGCGAATCACTAAATTGTTTCTTATTAAATTACGCTTGTACCCACAGGGGTATTCACAAGCTATGAAAATATTTCAAAAATGATTAAAGAATAAGTTTGATAACCGCCATATTTAAACGTGAATGTGATTTGGTACTGGCAGAATGCAACAGAACGAATACTTAAATGAGTGACTGAAGTTTATAAATATGTTGACATACTATACTTTTTCTATGACTATTACTTTTTGGGTACATTATCACGAAACAGCATGATTACATTTATGGCAAAATAAACGTTAAAATGCTAGTGCTAAAAGCTACCTCTCCCAAAGCCGTGACTAAGATTTCAGAAATATCCGAAGTGACTAACGACTGTGAACAATGAAGTGACTTCTTAAAGAAACACTTCCGCACGACTGATTCGTGCATTATTTTATAGTATTTTTAAATATGTTTTATCTTTTTAAATATATATAGTGACATGTGTCACAGGTAATATATATGACTTGTCAAATTTGAAATACCATAACCGACTGGTTCTCCGACTATTATAAAAGTATATCACGAATTTTGATACATAACCTTATCAATGTATGGTTACGTTTATCAGTTTACATAGTCTTAACCATTAGGTGTTTGATATAACTTTGACACAAAATAAGGGAAGGAAGACATGTTGATATTGTCGCTTTTGAAGTGTCTCTTCGCATCGACAGAATTTGCGAAACTAGTTTTTATTAATTGGACATTTTTTTCATTTCTGTCCAACATTTTAATGAAATATTAGTTATTTTTTAATATTTACAAGTGAAAATTAAATCACATTTATACTATACAAAAATTTAACCCGTCATTCATTTTAGTTATTTTTCAAATCTTCGTTATGGCAAAATAATAATAAGTTTTAAACTTCTTTTATTAATTTATGCAACAACAATATTATTAATTTACTTTTAAGTTAAAAATTAATTTTATAATTACAATTCAAAATATTCTTTAAGCCAAGCATGCAATTGTGCTGACCAGCTGCTTTTTTTTTCATTATTTTTCTATTATAGAAACTGATATAACTTAAAAAGCACCCAGCTTTTTTTTAAGGTTGTTACTGATGTCCACAAAAGTCGGCGGATTAGGCTTAAATTTAACGGCTGCCAACAGAGTGATTATCATGAATGTCAATTGGAACCCTTCTCAGGACACTCAGAGCGTTTTTAGAGCTTTCCGTTTTGGTCAGACCAAGGACGTTTACGTTTATAGGTTAATTTCGTTAGAAACAATGGAAGAACGCATATATCAACTTCAAGTTACAAAGTTGGCAATCGCACACAGGGTTATAGACAAACACCAGATTACGAGGCACTACAATTCAAATGATATTCAGGCAATGTATTCTCTCAGGCCTTCAGTTTTTAAGGACAGGCCTCTTCCTAACGTCCCGGAAGATAAGGTACCCTAAATATTCATTTTGTATATTTGAGATGTACTTTTATTTATTTTGAAAAATTCATGTAACTTAATTTACTATATAATTTTTTCATCGCAGGTTTTAGCCAAAATACTTCAAAAATATCCATTTGTTTTCCGCTGGCACGAACATCAAGGACTCTTGGCCAATCGTCCCGAAGAAGACCTCAATGAACAAGAGAAAAATGCAGCCTGGGAAGAGTTTAATAAACGAGCCGATGGTAATGTTGTAGTACTGTCAGTATTCTTTTAAAATTTGATCATTGGATTTTTTAATTTGTAGAAACTTCTGCATCAGCTCAGTTACCGACTATAAACGCAGTAGGATTACAGAATAGAAATTTAGCACAAAGGTAAGGATTTCTATATTTTGTTGTACATTCTTAAAAGATGGTAATAAAATGTAATACATAATATAATAAGTAGTTACGCTTCACGATTGATAGCCTAGAAAAAGTCCGTTTTAACAAAATAAAGCAAACAGCATTACACAAAAATGATTTACATTTAGATATATAGATTTTTTTAAACCTCCATAGGAGTTTATTTAATCTAAAAATTTTAGATGTAAATTTGTAATAATGCTGCGTGAAATAAAAATAGTTAAGCCCGTTTCTCACTTGACAACCTTTCATAAAAAATTGCGGGTATGGCCATAGACAGCGTTTTCAATGAGCGGTCAACTTTCAGATTTTTTTCCTATACTTTTTATCACTCCAGACGGATGTAAATGTAAAAAATTGAAATTAAAAATACGCCTTGAAAATCTCATAACAAGCCTAATAAAATTATTAAAAGACATACAAGACGTTCCACTAAAAGCACAAAGTTTTATTTATCAAAATTTGTACAAATTAGCGAAGAATAAAGAATTCAGCCCACGGAGCATATCTTTGCTCGATTGTTTTAAATTTTTTTGGTAAATTTGCTAAGCCCTGGGCTACTGACCTAGTCGTGTAGGTATCGATTTCGGAAATTTCATTTCTTGTTGTTTCCTTTTACTTCCAGTTTAAAATGTTTTAAAAAAACGAAACTACTGAAGAAATAATTTAAGTTGTACTTTTAGTCCCTTATTTATCTCTTTGACAATACTATTCGCTAAGATACCACCCACTGGACTTCACTACTATTATGCAGTTGAAATTAGCCTTTTATAAATGACGTTGCTAGATTTCTGCACAATCGATCAATTAATATTTAACATACTCTAAAAAATTCGTTTTTATTTTAATGTTTATCAGGTTCATATCATTTTTTTGGATGATAAATTTCCAGCCTAATCTTTGTGCATTTGTTTGGAACTTTGGAACTGGGTGGCGTTCGTCATCAACATGGCGGCTGACGTTTCGCCTATTCGACAGTTATCAGCTTGGATTTGCACAGATCATATTAAATTTTCAAGAGACGGAATCTGATTTATTCCTTTCTTGTCGAATTCTTATTACTATTATCTAATAGCTACCCCAGTCACAGTTCATCATAGAAGATTTGTATTCTTTGATGGCAATGATCAGTGGTATTAATAATTTGATTTTCTGCCCATTTAATTTTTTTGTGCCAAGCTCGTTATTCTTGGTACATCCCTTTTGTTAGGAGAGAGACAATACTTTCAATTGACTAAACTTCCTTGTTTGGTGATATGGTAATATATTATATTATGCTGTACGTCGATAGATTTCTAAAAAGCGTGGATTTATTTAATAATGAGTTGTAGCGTAAAGAAAATATTGGTCTAAGATTTAGCTATCGGCTGTTATAGCTGCTCGTTTTTTTTTGTTTGTAGGCTCCCTATTGATGAAGATCATAACTATTCTCTTCCTAAAGTTAAGTAAGAACATTAAGTCTATTTTATGTTTATGATTTTAATATTATTGGTCGCTACATCTGTTTTTAGACTATTTTTTTCTAATTGCTTTGAAATTGTCTTTTTTACAGCTCCGTTGTTCAAGCAACTCGTAATTTATTTACTAGTCAGCTACCGGCATCAAATATGGACATCAATATTCAAGCTGTAGCGAAAGCGATTGCCGAAGCCAAACAGGCGAATGCTTTACGACCAGCTTCGTTTGTGTTACAACACGGCTCCAAACAAGTTATACCTTCCGTACTAAACGCAGTAAGATTGCCTGCTACAAGCCAGCAATGGAAACAACTTGTTCCGAATCCAGCTAGTGCATTAGCAGCAAAGATATTAAACAACAGAGTACGTAGCATTTTTAACAGACTGATTTTTCAAAATTTCCTTGATTCTTTGACATAGAAATGGAAAACTAGTATAATGTGAGTTTAAGAAAAGGGTTATTAAAAAGATAAACTGTGTAGAAAAATGAAATGTGAAGATTTCTATAAATCAAGTGATTGATTTCTTATCGTATCGTCTAATAGCAATCTAATCTTTTGTGACGTACATAATTGCAAATCCATGGAAGAATGACTTCTCTAGCCAAGCTCTCTTGGCAAGTACAACTGCTCCCTAATCCTCATGATATCTACATTCTAACCAACCCCGATCCTTTTTCTTGACCACCAGCAGAGAACACTTTCAAATGCACCTGGCCAATCAGTGCACTAGAAATTCTGTCTGTAGATAATTCCAAATTTTTTATGTTTGTGGCTGATGTTTGTAAATGCCATTTTTTTCTGAATAAGTGGGTAGTTTGCTTAAGTTTGATTATTGTGTGCTTATAATAAAATACAGTAAAGGACTTGGGTAGAAAATGTCTTTTATACCAATATTTTGAAAATGTGAAAAAAAGGTCAATTTATTATTAGCGCTTCGAAACTTTTTTGGTACTTTGAATGTTTTTACCAATAAAATTAAGAACTCCAGATTATATAATTCTTTAGACTTGGGTGGATTTGAAAAAAATATTAAGGCCAAGCTAGTAGAAAACAAGAAGTATTCAAACGACAAAGGGCCTATAATTACACCATTAAAGAAAAAAAAATTGGTTAGTAATGTGGCTCATCCTAACTAGAATTTGAATTTTATCATGGGAAATTATGTATATATTTATATATAATTATCCATTCTAAAATCTTTAAATCTTAATAAGCAAGAACTGTCAAAATAAATTGTCATTATGTTGGTTCCTTCCTTCAATATAACTTAAGAGAACATTCACGGAATAATATTCTGTTTGGTTTTTAATAGAATGACTCTCTTCCTCTGTTAGCAATTTTTCTCTCATAGCCTAGCCATGTCGCTTAGATTTATATATTTCTTCACACTTTTGGCAAAATCCATAAACATATCAAATTAGTTTTCAGAGAAACTGCTCTTGACCCAAAATTCATAGGAAAACATTCACTCCTAAGTGGGCTGGTCAGCCCTCAAATTTTTTTAAATGGAAATCAGGATCAACAGACACCGCAGTAAAAATGGCCTTAATTTAATTAGATTGAGCTAAAGAAACCAACAAACTCACAGCCAAGCGCACAAACTCTCCAAATTTTCAAAAATATTCAGCAATATTGATATTCATTTCAGCGTCAAGCTTAAAATAAGTATATGTGATTGCACTTAGTACACCGTGACATATTCTGCTAACACTAGTTTAAGTAAGTAAAAATCATTTCCAATGCAAGTGATGTTGCAGAAATCTCCATCGCCAGCTCACGCCGCCATACCGTGCGTTGAAACGCTAGGACCATCATTGCCTTTGCCATCCGTTGGGTTTCCGAAACAACTTGAACAAAAAATTCCGCCAACAAATACCTCTGTTTCGTTCTTGAACATTAACAGCAATACACTGAATTTAGCAACAAAAAATGTGGATAAAAACACGAGAAGTGTCAACAGTTCTAAAAAAGTGGGATTGCCTGGAGCCTCAAAACACGACATAATAACGGCAGCAAACAAAAGATTAGCAAGTAGTTGGCGAAAAACGAGCACTGTAAAGGTAAGTAATTTTAATAGCGTTTCGCAATACGGATTGAATTAGTATTTATACTGTGCTTGCACCACGTTTGTATGAGTTTGGCGGCTTGGAATACAACGAGAAGAGTTTCAATGTGGTTTCACTCAACCTTTCGGTTCTGCTTAACAACTACAGTAAGAGTGGTCAATGGTCAATCACAACATATACTGTCGCGTGATAATCTTCTTAAGTCTGAAACTTTATTCACAACTAACAGTACAGGTTGTTCTCTTTGTATGGTATCTCTCGTATTTTTCAAAATAGAAAAATTGCGATTTTCACGACACTGGAATACTTTTTTAAGAAACTAAAGCATCTATCAAAAAAAAAAAATGAAGTCTAACCAAATTATTTCCAAAAATATAACTTCTAGATTAAATTAATAATTAGGCTTTTTTGAGCTAATTGCATCAACAATATGAAGTCTTAATTTATTAACAATTCATTACAATCAAAATTTTAAGATAATGTAATAGTTCTTCTAAAATTTTAGATTGCAAAATCTGATAAAAAAATTCCGGGTACTTCGACCATCTTTCCGTCTACGACATCAACATCTTTAGCGTCGCAAAATTCTGCCAAGTCACCAAACCCTATCAAGAACAACACAGACATAGCATCATCAGATACAACGTTATCACTTTGGCCAACTACTCCAAGAAATTCTAATATTATTAAGGTAGGTTGGGCAGGGCGGTTTTCAATATGATCTATGCAACATTTTCAGTTTGCAATGATAAGTTTTATTCTTGTACAACGAATACACAAACTCATTCCACCTACACAGAATAACAATGTGGATAATTCCAGTGGAAGCTATCATTGGACCCAAAGTCGTTCATAAAGCGAAAATGTGAACAAATTTTATTTTTCCTATTTGAACACCTAACCTACTAATTTCTGTTTTGTGTAAAAACTGTGATAAACACCGTTCAAAAGATATTTTTCGTATTTGGCCATACTTAAAAAGAGAAAAAAAACTCGTAAAACAAATCTTATTAATAAGTCTAAACCATGTATTTGATAGCATTTTAACAACTGGTTTTTGTTATATTTATTTTAGATAGTGTTTTAATTAAAAAATTCTATGTTCTATTTTTTTTATCTACATGTATTCTTAGAATTCTATTTGAAGCTTAAGAATAACAAAAATTAAGTTAAAGTAGTTCCTATAATTCCTACATCCCTTATGCTCTCTCCTCTCTTCTCAATCAATTCAACAACAGAATAACAAAAACCAAACTAAAAACTAACAAAATATTTGCTTATTTTGATACCATTGCAATGCATAGATGTAGGGTATTGGTCGCCCATTACCGTATTTTAATTTTTGTGTCGTCTACCAATAAGGTTTTAGTTTAGATGTATTTTCAAGACAGTATTTTCTCAAAATATGCTTAGATTTCGTGGGAAAATAAGTTTATTGCGTGGAGATTTCTGTTTAGAAAGAAAATGGAGAAAAGTGCAAGTTGGTGGGTGAAATTTAGCAGACATGCGCGTGCTGGAGCTACTATATTATCTTGTGACGTATGACATAAGCAAATACTGTTTTGCAGAAATAATGAATGGAATGGAAAATTTGGTCATCTCAATTGTGATCATTATTTTATAGACAATGTGGGGGCTGCAAATACCTTAAAATTTATGCATGATGATAAATTTTACACACTATAGGTGATGTACATACACTGTAGACAGTGCGATAATCGCAGCTAGGCAAATGTAGCTTAATCTGCACGTTGCGCCATTTTCTTTATATTTTAACAATTATTGCAAAAAATGTCACAGCCAAACCGAAAGCTATCTAATTGTCAGGGACAATGTTAACTGTTGAACGCTTTATACTTAATGCCGCTTCTGACCATTTTTTAATATTAATTTCAACAGTGGCTGTATTATTAGAATAGGTAAGTATTTTTCTGAAAAAAAAATTATCTGGAACAGCCGAGTACAATTGTTTTTGTACAATATCGTTCTGCTCCTCCTATCCTTTCAAAGCATACAAGCTTGTCAGTTATTCACTGAAATCGCCACTCTTATCCGGCCAGTAATGCAGATCAGCATGAAAAAAATCATTATTTTACATTAGACATTTTAAATTTGTTAATTTTTCCAATATGTCTTCCACAATAACTTTTAAATTCCGGCTTTTGGAAAAGCTATCATTTCTCCCTCGTCTTCCTACATCCTGTTTTCATGACTTTTCATTAATTTTCTTATTTATTCTGTACCCGATATGCTTTCTTTTAGTTTAGCTTCATTTAGCCTCATTTAGCATCAGCCCCCAGTTTATATATTTAGGGGTAACATTTTCTCGGAATGAAGTAGACTTTCTCGAATTACGAATTATGGAGCCAGATTTTCAATTTTTTCTTGGTTACCAGTTTTTAGATACGTCTCAACGATTCTAATAAAAAGAAGTTTTGTATCATTTTTTAATTTTAAAATATATATAAATAAGTTGATACGGCTTTACAAAAAGGTTAGCAATGATAGAAGCAAAAAAATTATTGAAGTCATAATTTTTTTATAAATTTTTCGCAGTTCCTTTTTATTTCTAGTGATTTGAAATTTACAAAATGTAACTCTTATTATATTTGTTTGTTACAGTCGCAAACATGGATACCAGCTTTAGTAAGTCCCTCAACTACAATCGAAAGTGCAACCACCATTCCGCACGGCAACAAAGAAAATACAAAAAAATCAAAACTTCAATTGCTAAAATCTGCTGTTTCTATAGATCTTTCAAATGATGATGATGACAATGGCAGTACATCAAGTAGTAGTTCATTGTCAAAAGATATGGTCGATGATTTGAAGAAAAAGGGCATCAGTATTAATATGGTAAAAAAGAATGACAATTCCAACGGTAAGGGTTTACTTTTTTTTTTTCGGTTTTTAGTTGAAACCAGAGAGTTACTCGAGAACAGTAATAACGTGACAATTAATAGATTTACATTTACATCTAAAATAAACAATAAAAGCACTGTGCTTAACAATTGCGTATCGCGCATTTTAAAATCGTGTGTTTTTAAATATCCACTAAAAATGCAAAACAGAATTCGTAACTTTCACCTCTCCCTATGAAATAGAGAAAAAGATTTAACATCTGAGGTGTACATTTGACACATATATTTTTGTTAGTATATTATATAGTTAACACATCTATCGTTTTTTATCGAATTTAGAAATATTTTACGGACATACCTATAGATCACAAATGTTAGTACCCGATTAATTAATTAATGCATAAAACAGAAACACAAATAAAAATACTGTTTCAACCTCTGAAATGGAGTGCCTTTTTAACCGATTACTCTGAGGAAAATCTATAAAGTCTGAGTTATCTAAGATGGGGAGCAGATAATATTTTGAAAATTTTTTTTTTGCGTGCTTTTGTTTAATTTTATTTTTATTAACGAAACAGCCATTTACAGAATACTAAAAATAAGCAACAAAAATACAAAAACAAAAAATTGTTACAATTTACAGTATCACACTAACACAGTTTCAATATTTTTTTATTTTTGAACTAATTGCACTATCTGAAAAGCCTATGAGAAATGAAAATAAACAAACCTTAATTTGTGCTAACTAATTAACTAAGCAAAACATTTAACTACTATTACTACTAATGTCATACCATTTAAATTCACTCATAGAATTTAAGTCTCGAATTTTCAATCATTCGACAAACGACATTTGAAATATCTCAAGCACTCTGTTGCATCATACTATTTACAAAACTTCTGGATTCCTCCTGCGTCGGTTGTTGTTGAGTCGAACTTGCTAACGTTTAGCCAATCATCCTGTTGGCTTCTTCAGAGCTTAACTGAAACTCTGAAGAATCCAACAGGATGTTTTGCGAAACTTTAGCAAGTTCAACTCAACAACAACCAACGCAGTAGGAATCCAGAAGTTTTGTAAATAGTATTACAGTAGCCTGCGGAACTTTCTTTGAAAAATCAACTCTGTTCCATCATTGATAAAAATATTAAATAAAAGTGGATCTAAATGTGAACCTTAAAGGACCAATATCTTTAGAAATAAAATTGCCTTTTTTTACGTGTTGCTAATGGTGCGGTGTCGTTCCTAGTATGAGACCTTTTGTGATTTTTGAGGACGAAGTTGGAAAAGTTCTCTCCCAGGTAATTTCTTATTTTGTTTACAAACCCGTACAGTTCGGAAATAATGCTGAAGTAAGTACCAAAAAAACATTGGTTTGAAAGGAATGATCCTCCAACGAAAATGTTGGATGTGGTTGAAAAAAATTAAACTGGCTGATTTTCTATCCGATTTAGATAAAATTATGTTTTTGTTAGCAGTCTATAAATTGGACAGAAGGTTTTACCAGTCCTACGCCGGAAAAAATAATTTTATGGGATCTAATTTTTTATTACCAACAAACTAATTTTATTTTTTTTTTCCATTTTGTGAATGAAGTAGGGAATCTTATTTTACTGACGGCCTATGAACAGTATAAATACATATAACGGCTTTAAAAAATTAATTTCGAAGTTTGACATATTAGCGACAATTTTTTTTGGATTGAGGAAAATCTGCAATGTATAAAAAAATATATATTTAAGACCTGACTCCGCTTTCTATTGAAGAACATTTTAGTAAATTTTATTAAATTCCAGTATGTAATATTAATTTCTATTTTAGTACGCTTCAGCGTGTTAACCCAATTCTTAAAAACCCGAGAAAGGTCTATAACTTGTAACTTGTATATATATATAGTATATTATGCAGAAACAAGTAAAGAAGTTTATCACTATGTTGGCATACTGTACATTTTCTGCATTTTTGTAAAACATCGCGAACACTGAGTGAAGCGTGACGCCACCGTCAAAATACTATAGTTAAAATCTACCGAAAACTTCCGGTCGCTCTCAAACCCTATAATAACGAAGCTGACGTCTAAAAGTGGCTCTTTCCGCACTCTTGATCAGTGTATAATAAAATATTGAAAAATACTAATTATTAAAACTTTTTTTAACGGAATTACATCGCGGCACTTAATAATAATAATATTTTTTTTGTATTTGGAATAACAATCTTATTGCAAATATATTTCCAAAAAAGATATTTCAGAAAACTTTACACAAAACATGAGGTTTATAAATCTTTTTTGACTTGGTGTAAATTTACAGTTAAGTGTAAACAGCATAACATTATTTCATTTTTTGGTTTTATTTCAGATGTCATCACCCTAGACTGAAAAATCAATTGTGATATTACAGCTATGTTGTTAAGCGTAGCAGTTTACCTAATCTGTATTTTGTATAAATAAACTATTTGTTTTCTCCTGAACTCTTATTGGTCACCTGTTTTTTTAAGTCAATTGTAATAATAGATCTTTTTTATCCCAATAAACTTGCTATCTTTTACATGGCGTCAAGGATGCTTTACTTTTGAAAATAAGTGTATATGCTTATTTTATGACCCTTGGTGAAAATCTCACTGTGTCATTAAGGTCTATGTTTAAAATAAATTCTAATTTTCAAAGCTAATCACATGAAGCCAAAGGAGAATCTTATTGTCAGCCAATATTTACGAAAAACAATGAAGCAACTTAAAACGCGTGATTAAAACATTTTGAAACCTCTTTAGACTGAAGATATCTTGACTCGACGTCCTGGATGAATGACTAGATCCATGTGATGGGCGATGCGACCGAACCGCATTTATTAAAGTATCGCTGTCCTGCGTGGTGGTGCCGCAACGCAAAAGCTTTTGCACGACTTGTGGAAACAAATAAGTTAAGATTTTCGCACGCATCGCACATAATTTGCCTCAGTAGTAGTTGAGTCCTGGAAGCCAACAGTTTTTTTTTACCATGGAATTGTTAATAGAAGCATTAGAAAATCTAATTTATTGTGCGATATAACATATAAAAAGTACCATAATCGACTGTTAGACGCTTATTTCGTAGTACTATTATTTCTCTTTCTTGCTCTAAGGTATCCACGCGGATCAGTTTTAGCATTTCTAAATTGCCTTATGTCGTATTCCGATGTTCCCTCAAAGTCTATAATGATGTTATGCAATAGTGTAATTGCTTTCACAATGTGAACAGCATTTTCTACTTTGGTTTCTATAGCTTTTGCTAAAACCCTAAACTTGGTAACTATGCTTCCAAATGAACATTTCACGACAATTCTGACTCTGGATAGTCAGTAATTGAATATGTCAGGTTCGGTTCTCTCCTGCAGGAAAGACGAAAAGCTTCATCACCCAGAAAAACAAAGGGTGCTGTAATTATTGATTCTGGGAATGCTGTTTCTTCAGGTAATAAAATTGTTCCTGAGTATTCCATGTCTTCCATTCCATCATTCTCTTTTCCGTATGAGCCAACATTGACCATGACAAATTTGTAAGTAGCATCCGTGACAGCAAGTACAATGGAGTAAAAATTCTTGGAACAGTAATAAGTAGAACCAGAATTGGCAGGTCTTTTTATCATCATGTGCTTGCCGTCTATACAACCTAGGTAATGAGGGAACTGCCACCGTTCCCAAAATGTTTTCGCAAATTTGTTTGAATGTGGTAATTGTAGGTTTTCCAAATTGCTTTACATACTTTTACAACAATAGAAGCCTTCTTTGAAATTCTAAAAGAATATGCAATTTGCCTAAACTGAATTCCTGTTGCCAAGAATCTAAAAAAAAATGTGATTTTATTTTCAGAAGAAACAGTTAAAGGGACGTGGAGAAATTTACGTGACACCTTTCGAAAAGAATTAAAAAGAAAGCAGTTACTGTGAAACAGGTTCTTGGCCTCACTTCGAAGCTATGCAATTCTTAAAGCGGTTAGTGGCTCCTAGGAAAATGGAAGGGAATCTAGAAGCGCCTCAGACAACAAATATTACTGAACATGACATGCAAATGAAAAACAGCAACAAAGAAGAAAAGATTGGTAATGAATATGAAATTCTAATACAGCTATTAACTAATAGTAACATTCAAACTAAGAATTTACAAAAAGAAATAGAAGACCTTGCAAAATCATTACTCCATGAAAATGGTTCAACAAAACCCATTGGCTTGGCGCGAACGAAACGCAAAAGTGCTCCAAAGTCCAATATTGAAAGAGAAATGTTGCAACTGGAGGTAAAGAAACTCGAGATTTTAACAAAAGGGAATGATGACGAGGAAGATACCAGTTTTTTTAAATCACTCTTATCACATGTTAAAACACTTCCTTCACTGAATAATTTAAATTTTCTAATTCAAGTGCAAAATTTTCTGGTACAGAAATTAACCAAGCTTCAAGCTGCTCTAACTAATTTTTTCAATATTCGAGCAGTGAACGACACACCTTTCTGCTCTCCTTATTCATCGGCCTACAATAGTGGTCAAGAAACTGGCACTGGCAGTTATGTTAGAGTTGAGTGAATACCTGTTGTTCACAATGATATTAACCATAATTTCCTTTTTTCGGATGGCCATAAGTTATTTTATATTTGTTGTAACAAGAATAAAATTACTTTAATGGCAAATGCTTCTTTTACGTACCTTAAAGTTAACATAAGCCTTTCTTTCTTCTACTGAAATAGGACGCTGAAAATTAGTTGCCTGATATCTTATTTCTGGGCTTATAGCGTTCACTATATAGTCAAAAGTTGACGCTAGCTATAACAAATGGAAAAAATCTCCAAATATTGTTTGTTCTAAATAAATATACATCTGGACGACCAAGCCATTTTTACACAATTGAATCAGCTCAGATCTTTTATTCGCGCCTGGAAATACGAACAGTAGGACGAAGTAGGACACCCTGCACTTGTCCGTCCCGCCCACATCGTTCGCCACGCATGACAGTAACTTGATGCTTTGATCAATTAGTTTTACCTTTAATAGCATTATAAATAATAGGGTCAGGAACAACGACTGTGGCCGTGCAACATGATTTATATGGTGCAAACTAAACTTACTTCAGCCTATGACAACAAAAATTATTAAAATCATTTATAGAATTTACCTCCATAGATTGTTACCATCAGCTCTTATATTATAAATCATACCTTGGGATACTAATGGAATTGTCAAGACTAGTATTTTTATTTAGGTTTCCTCGTAAGGAGGCTTAATGGAAAAGATTGCTTATTTTCATGGTAGCTAAGGAAAGTCTAAAATAAGTAAGAGAAAACTAAACTAAATAAACTTTTATTTTTTAGGGAATGCAAAAATGAAATAATATAGGATGTGCTTTATACTAAGTAAAATCTTGCCACATTGATGTATAGTCATTTTCTCAATTACTATACGTCATTACCTACTGTCAGCAACCCGATGTATATCGTGCCCCAATGTTAACCGCACTTAATAGCAAAAAGAAAAAAATGCAAAGTATATAAAAAAAAGTATATTATACTGGACTGGTTAACCTGTATGAAAAATTATCACAAAATAATAATTTAATTATTCAGTAGCATCTTCCTTTGCTACACTAAATGGCTCTGAAACTACTTGAGTTCCACAATCGGCGATGACCACATCTTTTAGAGGCTTATCCCTGTAAAGTAAAAATAACAGGAAGTTGGCACTGGACTTGTTTTGAAAAAAAGGACTCTGCTCACTTAATAATAATGAGATAATGACTCACCTATTGTCAGTAGGGGTACTCTCAATTTTTCTCACAATATCCATTCCCTTAATTATTTTTCCAAAAACAACATGTCTTCCATCCAACCAACTTGTTTTTTTTGTTGTAATAAAGAACTGAGATCCATTTGTGTCTTTACCGGCGTTTGCCATAGATAACCATCCAGCACCATAATGCTTCAACTTGAAGTTTTCATCAGGGAAGCGGTCTCCATAAATGGAGCGACCTAGATATTGAGACTGCAGTTATCTATGTAGTCCATAAGAGACAAGCTTTACCTCCAGTTCCATCTCCTTTTGTGAAGTCACCTCCTTGGATCATAAAATCTTTAATTATACGATGAAATTTGCTGCCCTTGTAGCCATCACCTACAGGTAATGTTGCCAATTGCTTGAAATTTTCAACAGTTTTTGGCACAGTTTTTCCGAAAAGCCCTATTTCAATCCGGCCAATGGCTTCCCCTCCAATTTGAATATCAAACCATACCTACAATTATGAAATAAAAATCATCTAGGTGGGAAGAGCAGAAGCAGAAAGTGGATCAAAAAAATATTTGGGTTATTCATTATTTTATAAAGAACTCATAACATTCAATTTATACATAATTTCGAAATTAAATAATTGTTAACAGAAAAAGTAGTCCTAGGATTTTTGCATTTTGAGAATTTTAAAATTAATTATCCGAGAAAAATTGCGAGTCAAATTTACAAATTGAATGCGTAAAAATGCCTAAAAGCATTCAAAAACACTCCAAACAAGAGTTGTTCAGTTGCCAAAAAAACACATGCTACGTCAACAATTGAATCTTGACAAAGAGTCTAAATATCATCATTGAAAACTGAAAATCGATTTACGAAAAAACAGCAAAACAATTGGATATTCAATTAACATACAACACGAAAGAGGCAAGCAGCTTGAAAATGTTTTGAGTGTGTCCTTAGTTACATTTTCTCCATGCGAATTAAAAGGACAAAGTGTGCTTACTGTATCGGTGACTTTTGGTCCTTTCTTGCCATCTTCACCAGATGCTCGGGTTACGACAAAAAGTACTAGCACTCCAACAAAAATTAAACACAAAATTTTCGGCATATTTGCTTCCCTTTGCCAAAATCTCCGAATTTTGCCACAGAGTGAAATTACAATACTACTGCTCTCAGTCATAGATTATAGCGAAGATACCAATCGACATCACAGAATAGAAACAAAATTGATTTCATTCTGCTATCCCTAGGGAATGTAAAAAAATATGTCGCATTGAGAAATAAATAAAATTAACGTAACTTTTTGGCTGGATAGAAAGTTGCTTGAAAAATGCAATTTGATTAGAATTTGCTGTGGTATATTTCAAAATTTTTAAATTCGCGGGACTGGTAGATGCACTGAACAAAGATTTGAAAATTCATCTGTTTAAAAGTGCCACGATGCTTATAAACACCAATCAGCGAAGGCCACGAGAAGGTAGAACACGATGATTAGTCTGGCTGTTGGGTCTTGAATCGGTGGACTTACAAGGTGCTTTAAAAAGCGCCCAACAACTCAAAACATCGTTTTTCCAAAAAAATGAGTCCCCACAAAATCTTCGGTATTGAGTATTGGAAATTAAAGAGGTCAATATTGTTAATGAGCTTAGTTCTCGACAACTTAACAAAAGATTTAGGTTTAAGGTAATTGCTTTTTGATTAAAATGTTAGTTTAAAATAAAAACGGTAGTTTTTTTTTTTGGCGCGAAATTTTGTTAAATCTATTAAATAGATTATTTGAATGTAGGACATTAATAAATTAAAAACATTTGTTCGTTTTTATAGGCGGCTACGTTCTATCGACCAAAAATATTTTTAGCGGATGTCGCGTGTTTACCGCTTCCCTACTACTTATATTATATTATATTAGTATATTATTTCCCTACACCTATCGCTAGCGGCTTTTAAGAATAATAATAAATCAATCCAATGGGAACCTATTTTCAAGAAAATATTTTGGAATAAAAACTTTAAAGACGCTTTAACTATATTCGAAATAATTCGAAAAGTATCCAAGATCCAGTTTTTTATTTCAAATTCAAACATCAGAAGAGATGGGTATATAAATTTCCATTAAATAATAGAAATTGAAAGTGATAAAATATACAGATTACATCACATTCCGTCCGAGAGTGTACACCAACCAATAAACTTTAGCGTTTTAAAAACCTAATACACAGGATATATTATTCGGTCGAGTGCTTTGGCGATCTGCGTACTTAAGTATATATACGTAATAGACGTGCCCACTGTACCTACATATAATACTAAATTTGCATTTTTGTTTTGCAACCGGTTATAATATTTTTAAGATGGACGTCAATTTGTGTATGATAAATACTATCGTATAGCTATTAGGCTTGCCGTCTTTCAGATTTTTATTTTTTCGTACTTAATCACGGATAGAAAAATGTGATGACAATATATTCTGTGATATCATCCGTTCGTTTGTTGAACTCCGATTAGAATCCTGCAGACGTTTCGCCAAGAAGCCCACTTACAATTAAAAATCAGACAAACTTTGAGAGGTTTTAAAAAATTTGATTTCCAAGTAAACCCTATAATAATTTTAATTAATGTGGATCTTAGTTAACCAGAACGCTAATTAATGAAAACGATTATAAATTCAGTGTTATCAATAAAATGCGATAAACATAAACCATCACTACTCTTCTATTTAAATCAGATAGTTGATATTTAATATTTCAATCGTCTGGTCTTTATTAAAACTTTAATATAACTAATCGCACGGTTTACTAGGTCAGTATAACTGACCAAAACAAAGGTGTATGGTTTACGACGAATTATGGGCTAATAAGCAATGCTACATTACATTTTATTATCGTACCTGTTCCAAGATACGTAGTACTCACAATCCATTCTAACAAAATGAATACATAAACATACAGGGTGTTTTCTAATTGAATGTCAATAATTAAGTGGGCGACTTTTAGGTCCATTTTATAAAGAAAACGTCATATGAACATGTCCTAAACGTCTTAATTTTTGAAATACAGGGCGGTAAACTTTTGAAAAATTAAATATATTTTCTTAATATGTGTAACACCACATTAGATATTTTAATGAAATTTGGCACACAGAGGTATTATTTCACCTGTCTATATTTTGGCAGGCATTGATGGTACGTCATTCCTAAAGGAATTTAATTTCGTGTTTCTTTTTAATGCCATGTACGATTTTCGCTTAAAAAAACCTCTTTTCTGCGTGGTCATAGGAATATTAACAATTAGAAAACGCCCTGTATAAATCCGTGAATGTGCAAAATATCTAGGTATTCTGCAAACTGACCAATTTAACAGGCATTATGCACTACTATTTTAGGCAATCTGCAAATTGACTACGCTGTTTTAGGCAATCTGCGATTTCTGATGCCTTCGTCAATCTAAGGAATAAAGGTTTTTATTTTTCACATTGACTAGAAAATCGGATAATAAATAAAAATACATTTATTTTTTGACAGAAAGGTAAACATAAAACCGAACCTAAAATTGTGCATGTTAAATGTTTGATTGTAACATATTAATGCCAAGTTGTATTTCCATCTGCCTCCTATCATTCTATCAACTCAACTCAAACTCAGCCAAATACTTTTTTGAAGAAATAAGCAAGTATTTTTCTTAGTTGGTTAGTTTCTGTTGTTCTTTTGTCGAGTCAATAAAATGATAGCAGGTAGGTGAAGGTACAACTTGGTAACAATGGATTGGCGTCAAACATTTAACACTTTCTAGTATCTGTTTTTATGCGCGACTGGCACTCTCAGAATATTAATGATCATTTCCCTTTCGTTAAATGATAAAAGCACAAAGTATATTGCTGTATAATATACTTTACTAATACCATTCTTCTGATAAACTTCGACAGGATTAGGTATAAATACCTTTCATTGACTAATGCATCAGATATTTTGCAGATAGCCTAAAATAGTGTAGTTAATTTGCAGATTGCCCAAAATAGTGGTAAATTTGCATAATGCCCGGTAAATCGTGAGTTTGCAGAATAGTTATGCATTTCGCACATTGACGGTTTTTGTACATTGCCGGTAACTTATACAAAGATTTGCTAACTTCGTTATTAATCTCTAAAATCCTGGATGCGTCCATTTCGTTGCCCTTTTCTTAATTAGGTATATTAATATGGCGCTATGTAATAAATACGAAATTTACTTTACCATAAATTATCATTTGTTACGCATTAATATTAGTGTAGATCTGGCAACATTGCGCTTATATAACCCTAATGTTTGCCGCCTACCGACTGCGTAGACATATTGCTACTTTATGCCTGCAGGTCGCGAACAACATCGCTTCCAAATACAAAATATAATTGCTTTGAAGGTAGAATCTTCGCAGTAAGTTTCTGCTCTTTTGCAGAATCATCGGACCATTTTTGCAGCCAAATTTAATTATTGCTCTCACTCGGCCTTGGCGGCAGCAACAAAGGAAGTATCTGGGCACAAACTTTTGAGCGGAAAATGCGCACGATACAATAATGATTTATCTCGTTTAGGTAGTGGCGTGAAAATAGATAACGTAAAAAATTAAAATCATCAGCGAGAGTGTCTGGTTTGTTAGTGCGCGGTTTTTGAATTTGTTTGAAGCGTTAGTAACCGGGTCGCGCGCTGGAATCCTTATGAGCGCCGTCATAATCGTAACACGCGTTGAAATTGAATTTGACCTTAAAAAAATACTATTGTAACAGTATTCAGTTTCACTCCTTGTATAATTCTTATCTCTCAACTGCTTAATATTTGTTTATTGCTATTTTTTCGTTCAATTAATTGTATTGTGCACTTCAGAACGCAAATATTAGCGTTTGGTTCAATGGCGATTCATTGTCTTTAAATTAAATATTACCGGCACAGTTTTAGTTTATCGACGCATCGAATTAAAACGAGATCGGGATGACTTTTCAAATGACGGTCGAAATTCCTCTCTTTTTGACTGTCTTAGGATTGTTGCTGACTGGTGAGTAATTAATTAATATTTTAGTTGTAAATATTCTTTTTCACCTTCACCTCTTTCAATACCAACAAAATTATGAAAAGCATAATTCGGACGTAACATCAGTACAAAAAGGCGAATGCGCCGGAAATATGTCTTTCTGCGAATCACTGCGCCAAAAAATTCAGCTGATTTGTAGTCTTTCAAGGATCAATAGTAATTTTGTAGTCGATTTTGTTGCCACTGAAAAGTATAGTCCGTCTGTCTCAAAATATATAGTCTTGGTATTTGACCGAGCTTCCCTAAGAGTAATTACGACCGTCATACCTATTGTCACTGGGTAAACTCAACTACTGATAATTTATTCATAGGTAAGGGACCAGACAGGGGCGGGTCAGGTAGATGTCGACCGCGTATCGATTAATATCAACGGCAGTGTTGAATAACCTGTGTTACCGTGCGTTTCGAAAAAGCTTCTTACTTCTAATTCACTAATATTTCCGTTATGGCGCGTCGAAATCACTTCTCATTAGATACAAAACAAATTGTGAAAAATTTTGCATTTGCATTCAAAGTAACACAGCGCACGTTGAAATAATCTTAATGACGAATTATTTAAATAATTATTGCTAATTTGTTTATATTTAGTGTCATCGTATTTTCTATTAGTACTAATATGATTTTATTATACCTTGATAAACATAATATAATACCGAATCTTTACATTTTTAAAATACCTTAAAAGGCTTCCCTGATGCTCTGTCCTACAATCACTGGTCTGGTGTGTTATTGCCGTCGGCAGGTTATTTCGAGAATTGCCGCCAAAAGTCAAGACGATATACTTTGCGACGGACTATAGCAGATCAATGGTAAGCGCAGTTTTATCAGACTATTTAAAAATTTGGAAAAAATCTGCATATGAGGGCTACGTTCTCAGTGGAACTTTTGATGGAAGTCAAATATCGAATACGAATTAATTTTTCGTATAGAAACCATATTGAGTATTCACAGTTTTTAATGTTCTCTGTTGAGTAAAAAAGCCTATAAAAGTCGCTTCCTTCTTGAAAAAGAAATCTTCTTAGAACCACATGGAACCTGAGTGAAATCATTAGTTAGGTTGTTGTACACACCAAATGGGTAATTACTATTTTTTTTAGTGGTACCGAGTTTAGTAAAATGGAAATAACTGTCAAAATGCGGAAATTAAAAAAAAAACTTTAAAATATCAAATTGTCAGTAAGCGGGCAACTTGTTTATTTGGAAGAGTTTTTTAAAAAAACGCAGTCTTTGGTCCGCAATGGTATTCAAAATATGATTTATGATATTACGATAAGTCGATGATATAGACATACATAGGACATAGGTATAGACATTTACATTTATTACTGTTGCAAGTTGGATCATAAAACCAGAATGTTCCCGATTTTATGTGGCATAGAATCTTGGGTCGAAAATATCGGTGTATTGTTCACATTTGTCTATCCCAACCTGATTGGAATACCAAATTTTCTGTTAATGTATGCATCTAAAATAATAAAAAAAGAAAGTATTGGACTATTGGACTAACCACATATCCACGCGTCATAATAAAAATATGATTTTATGTATATATATATATATATATATATATATATATATATATATATATATATATATATATATATATATATATATATATATATATATATATATATATAATAATCACTTTATTAAGTGTTGTTGAAATGCATTGTCAGTTGGTGGCAGTTCCATCGCAGTCGTTGATGTCATGAAAGAAGTTTTTTTCAATTCCTGAATGAGTACCATACCAACAATAATGTAAGAATGTACATTTGGATGTATATCCATTCTCTCTCTCTCTCTCTCTCTCTCTCTCTCTCTCTCTCTCTCTCTCTCTCTGTATTTTGTTGCAATCTAGGACACAATTCAGCCTTTGCAGATTTTCGCATCGAACCATCTTCATGAAACAGTGCTGAAGATTATTCTACAAAACATGAATTGCGATCCTAAAACCATTTTTTAGAAAGGCTTGCGGGCTTCTTAGTTTCTCCAAAATCTTTCAACAGACCTTTCGAGGATGGTAGTTGTTTTTTCAGCAGTTGTTTGTAAATAATTAGATAGGCTTTTTTTGTGGCTGCTTTTTCCTTACATATATTGTTTGCGAACAGCATATAAATCGAACGGATTGCACCAATTGGATTCAACTGCATTGAAAACTTTAATTACCTCTTTATTTTTACAAGCTGAGTTTATTCCTTGAGGTTTATGTTTGGGATTTTTTTTACATATCATCTGTGAATAGTAAATTGTTCCTGAAATGTATAATCAATTATCAACTCATCAAGAAAAAATTTCGAAAATAAACAAAATTGAAAATCATGGCCTCAATTATTATCGCTTATGTATCATCTTCAAGTCAAAAAAAAATCATTCCGATATGTTGAATAGTTTCGGAGTTATTGGAGCGTGAATGATAATAGTATATTATGTAACAAGTGCGGTAATAGTATATTACGCAACAAGTGCGGTAAATGGTATTTGACTCACGAGTTTGACACTAGCGGAACGAGTGTGTAATAAACGAGTGACTTAGAAAGTTTACCGAAATTGTTGCATACTATACTTTTTCTACGACTGTTACTTTTCGGGTATATTTTCGCAAAACAACACGAATACATTCACTGACATGACCGTTAGAATTGACAAACGTCAAAATTCAAGGCGTGTCAAATATCTCCGAAAACATCCGATTGCTCCCAAACCGGTGCGGTAATTTTCCGGAATTGTCCGAGCTGGCTCGGATCCGTGGGAAACTAAACTGACACTTTCCGCACGCTAGATCGGTGTGTAATTAGGCATATTACATACGGGAATAGAAAAACGGCATCTGACTCACACGAGCAGAGCGCAGGGAGCGAGTGTTTAATAAACGCGTGACTTAAAAAGTTTACCGAACGTGTTGCATACTATACTTTTTCTACGACCGTTAGTTATACGGTTCGACGGTCACCAAGAAGCGCTGTTAAGCTTGCCCAAAAATGTATTGAGTATGGAGATGTATTCGAACATTTAATGTAATGTTTAGGGTTAGCAGTCGTTTAAAAAATTAACAATTCCTCCAATTTGCTTTATTTTATTTTTTTCAAGACAAAATTGAAACAGGTTCAAATTTTGTTAATTTTTGGTTTTGGAAAAAATTGTAGAAGCCGAGGAAGTACTAATGGATTAATGGAAAACTACACAGGGTGTGCGATTTTCAATTATTGTCTTTCCGTTAAAATGACGCTGAACAGGATATAAATGATACAACCTCTCTAATTTAACCTACCTCCCAGCTCCAATAATAAAGAAGTTAGCAATAGCGCCGAGATGAATTTATTCACGTTATTCACGCTGTGTGCATTTTTTTTAGCAAATGTGACAACAAATCTGATGATATACCGAACTTGCTACGCCTTATTAGGATTCAATAAAACTGAGTGTGCCAAATTGGGAATGGACAACGATTCAACTACAGCAGAACTCGAAAAAAAGGTGGAACCAACTGCCGACATAATCGCGATGTACAAGGGGATTCTGGAATCCATCACCGGATGTATACTGTGTATATTTGTGGCACCCTGGAGTGACAGGTTCGGGAGAAAACCTGTGCTTGTAGCGGGCTCTATAGGTTTGAAATATTGATTAAATAATAAAAATAGTGGTACTGACAAAATAAAAAGATTTTTTGTTTCGGTTATATTTTTTGAAAGTGTTAATTTTTATTTCTGAATTTGTCATGTTACTCACGATGCCGCCTCCTTTACTCAAATCTGTTTTTGATCCATGAAGCTTTTTATCGTCTTTTTCATGAAGAACTGTAGTTCTTGAGATGTCACCTAACTTTATCACTTTTGTTATACCTTGCTTTTTATTTTTTTCGAGTCGTTGACATTTTTATATTTAGTTCTGAGAGTAACTTAGCTGTTTGGACGAATTATTTTGAACAACATATAACAACGCCGACGTTTCCGCAACTTCAAAAACCGTATAATCAAATTATAGCTAAGACAAAACAATTAATCTGTACTAAATAGAGATAAAAATATAAATTCTACTCTACATAGTATTTAGTTATTGTTCTCATTGTTATTTGAATGTGGCCATAAACTAGTGTCCAAACATACGAGTGATTCTAAATTCTAAAAATAAATCGTCCAAACGCGCTAATTTCTTGTTTTTTTATCAATTGTTTATGGGTATAATAATATATACGATAATTATATTAATAATCATGATTAGTCCCCTTAACTAATAGAAGAGGATTGCCGCTATAATGCTCTCGCCAAGTTGTCAAATTTCCCTTTGGTTAGTTTCAGAATACCGACATTTTTTCTGGCCCTTTTAAAAGATCTAATTTTGCACAAAATTCTCTACTTTGTAGAATAGGAAAAACTGAATGTGATATATAAGGCCAGAGACATTTTCTCAACACCGCAAAATACTTGTATCTACTGTTATACAAAACCTTCCTGGTGATCTTTAGACACAGACATTCGTTTTAGGAATAAGCAGTGTATGAATGCTTTTCAAAATCTTTTTATGTACACCGTTACACAGTATCTACACTTTTTTTGCGATAACAATCTCATTTTCCCCCGAAAACTGTCGAATTTACGAGATGCTAAGCTCCTATCGGTTGAAAGTGAGATTTTAAATAACCCGAGGATGTGCATATTGAATATCCCTCATCAACATTTTATGATGTTTGTTGCGAAAATTCAAAATAAAATATTTTTAGCATGGGTAAAGCCCCTATAACTATTAGATATATGGAGGTCTTGAAACCATGGGAGGAAACTGTTAACGAGGGACATTCAAAGTACGCATGTGTAAGTCATATCCAAGTCTGCTTTCATTCAACAACACTGTAAAGTTTCGCTGCGAATGAAAAAAGTTTGTCATTAAAAAAGAGGTCCCAAAGTTCAAGTGTTTGAAATTTAGGTACATGTGTGGAAGTTCTTCACTTTCTTTCCGAAAATATGATGGCCGTCACATTTAAGGCGTCTATTAAGGGTTTTATATCTAATAGCTATGAATCAAAAATTTAACTCGTCAATTTTTCGTTAGTTGAAAAAATTTTGCGTTCGCTTGCCGTATTTGTTTTTTATGAAATTTTGTGAAAAAAAGCGAAATTTCTTAACCTTAATTTCTTAATTAGATATTCTACCGCCACGCAAAAACACAATTAAAGGTTGTTTTAAATTACGTGTTATTTACAGAAATGTAAATGTAAGAGTGAAGTGCTATAAAAAATTCTGGGAAAAACGTTCAATTTCTGGGTTCGATAATCTTTTGTACAAATCACTATTAAGTGTCTCTATTATGACATTTACTTTAGTCTTTTTTCAACTTATCTCGACATAGCATTTGGAGACTATTTTTTTAAACTGTGTGTGTGTAAGTTGATTAGATATTTTTACGTGACTCATAGTTGTAACTCAAAACTACATGTATTTTACCCACGTTGACAACGCTCCACCTCATTATTCACTGCAAATTATTCTCTTATCTCTCAACCTAAACATTTCGGTTTTTTTGTGGATTATATGCCGCTATACTGTTATCGACATTACATCATTCGTTTGAACTTCTTTGTTTCACAGTTTTAAAAATTACTTTGTCTGATATGTCCGAGCTCTGTTGTTCGAGATTTATTACAACAATATTATTTAAAGCTTAGCCAACCTTGACACTAGACAACCCAACAAACGCATTATAATGTTCTCAATTTTTATAACGTTATATTTATGCTACTTTTGACGTCACTTAACCGAATTAGGCATATTTAAAATGGGATGATGATCACGATAGTTTCGCAGATTAAATATAAATATAAAAATAATAAATATCAAAAATTCTTCACAAGGCATTTAGTCCGCGATCATTACCGCGGAAAACAAAATCTTTATAATCTTTGTATTAAAAATTGGTTTTTGAAAATTGGCGATTCATACCGTAAATTCCGACGACCAATAAAATATATTTATTAAAGTTTAATCCGCATATAGCAGAACGAAAACGGAACGAAAAGAAACGAAAGGGAAATTCAGAAACTGAAGATAGTACACGTAATTATATGACTATAAATTCAAATCCGCTTTATACAAATGTTGATAGGATACAAGATACAGGTTGTGAAAGTTTTTCTACGAAGATTAAAAAGCAGCTAAATTTTTTAATAATTTTGGTAGTAGCGACATGAAAATTGATTTCCACGCATTTTTAGGACCAGAAACTCAAATATTTAACTTATTTTATGTAGCTCATAGAGGGCGCTGGCTTTAGACAATTACACGAACGAAATATGTCGTATTTTTTATATTTGAAAATCGATAGTCATAAAGAACAGAATTAATTTTTCAAAGAAACTTCCACAGGCTACTGTAATGCTTTTTACAAAACTTCTGGATTCCTCCTGCGTCGGTTTTTGCTTGCTCAGTCAAGCTCTGAAAAAGCCAACAGGATGATTGGCGAAACGTCAGCTATTTCGACTAAGCAAAAACCGACGCAGGAGGAATCCAGAAGTATTGTAAAAAACAAGACCACAATTTCTCAAAAAATATATGAATTTATTAGAATATTGCAAGTTGTAGATCTGGAAATAAGTTCGTCGAGATAACATTTTTTGTTTGACTTAATCACCATATAACTACATGCAGTACATGTCATAACCAGCTATTTCAACTGGAATTCAATTTCCAAATTTAAATAATTAATAGATTTAATTATCAAGTTTTTATTTTTTGATATTTCTATTATTTGGAAGTAATGAAATCTGTATCACAAACTAACGCGATTATTAGTGAATGCCAATGAAAAAGAAATGAAATGAACTTGTGGGGGATATATTGTTGGTATAATAAATGAACTTAACACCTCTTACGATTCTAAAAATTGGCAATCAACTTGATTTTATCAGCACGCGACCCACAAACAAACTGATTTATTTTTATTAATCATTCTATCATTCCATCATTCATTCAATCCCTGGAAAGCTCTCTTTGCGAGAACCTAACACCAGCCAAGAAAAGGTAATAATGTATAATGTATGCACAATAACGTAATGTGTAATGTGTGAAAGAGAATTGAAAATTAAAGAGAGTTTTTGAAGCTTACGCACTCTGTATGAGTAAAATTAAATGTTTATTTAAAAAAAGGGTACATGAAAATGAAACAGGGAAACTAATTCGATTAATTTGTTTCATACAAGTTGGAAATTAAAACATATACGCAGTGCTAAGATATATTTTTTTAAATTGAACATCGGATCTGCATCATAATTACGGAAATTATGTTGTCAGGTTCACGTCGAAGCGACAACACTGGACGCTTACAGTATGTCAGCATCGATAGAGTATCGTCGCTCACCAGACATGACAGAAAATAAATTAGGTACTTTCTTTCTTTCAGGAGGTACATGTATGATGTTGATTATGGTCGGATTTTCCTTTTTGGAAAATTTATCACCCTGGTACATGTTGTTGTGTATTATTCCTTCAGTGCTAACGGGAGGCGGAACTGCATTTACTACAGTGCTAACTGCTTATTTAACAGACAGAACTGACGAACAACATAGGGGGTTTAGGTATGACTGAATATGAACTGCGAGAGAACATTCCCTCATTTTGATGCGTTTTCAGGATGGGAATATTTGAAGGCGTAATGGCTACGGCCGTACTTATTGGTACTGCTTCCAGTGCCTACATTTTAAAAGCTACGAGCTACGTGTTTATGTATTTGCTGGGTACCCTGTGTTCACTAATTTCTCTCGTCTATATAATATTTTTTGTGCCGGAATCGTTGGAATTTCGAGAAACCGAGGTAAATGAACAAGCAGTTCTAATGTAATTAGGACTTATACATGCATAAGAATTAATTTGCAGAACAAAGTGAAAGGATTTTTCGAAATATCCAGCATAAAAGCCATGTTCAACACGGCATTCAAGCAACGAGAAGACTACAAACGGGCAATTATCTTAATGCTTATAGTTGTGTTGAGTCTATTTTACGTCATCATTGGGGGTGACGGTAGTGTTTACTTCCTGTTCCTAAGGGAAAAATTCCAATGGAGTTTGGAAAAATATAACTGGTTTAGTAGTGCAACAAATATTCTGTGGATAGTAGGTTAGTATTGCCAGTAATAATTACGAATAATAATCTTTAAATGCTCGCTCATTGAGTGCGTTCCAGATAGTTCCAGTTCCAGATAATTTTTACTCCTCTATGTTGCGCCAAATGTATGCGACAATAACGTGTTCATTTGTTGTACCAAGCTTAAAAAAAGTACTGAGAATAGTTTATTGGCTTAACGTCTTATGGCTCTGTTCATGATTTGATCTGACTTGAAACTTGGAGAAAAGCAAAAAACATTTTTTAATTTATTTTTACGGGTTCACTTCAAATTTTTGAAAACAATATACAATTAAATTCTCGTTGTAAACTTATGAGCATAGCCATTTTAATCTGAATTGAACTAAACGACTGAGGCAAACAATTCGGTAAAACTGTAACGTTAGTGTAATACAATACAATTATGTTCCTTTTAGGTACTGTTTTAATAGTTTACATATTTCACCATCTGCTAAAAGTAGAGGAAGCTTTTTTGATTTTTGCTGGTTTTTTGGGAAATTTATTTGGAGCTTTTATCACAGGCTTCGCAACAAAAGACTGGCACATTTATTTAGGTAAGAGAATGGGATCTTTTTAATTGATTTTTTTAAAGAAATTACTGTTTCTAGCCGCACTAGTCAGACTTCCTGGGGCAGGTTTAACTCCGATGGCGAAATCTTTGATGTCGAAACTTGTTCACGACAACGAAGTGGCCAAAATATTTTCGGTATTTAATATAGGCTCAAGTCTATTCAGTATGGCGGGTGCCCCTATCTACACCAATTTATATAACGCGACAATTAATAGCAATCCGGCCATTTTCAATTTCTTTACCGCTGGAATACATATATTAAATACCATTATTTTGGGGTAAGAGTTTACATATATTTATTTCTCCAACGGTTTGTTTTTGTGGATTTTTGTTTATATGTATAGTTAATCCTTCGAAAAACACTTGAATTATAAATAGCCTTTCTTACCTGCAAGTCCTGCGCCAAATATGGCTTGACTTCCCTCCTAAACGAGATACGACATTCACATTGAACGTTGCGTCTCGTCGTTCTATTCGGACACTCTGACTACTTAAACCTAAACTTCATTAGTGTTTATTAAGTCTCCAGCGAGTCGGTGATTTTCTCTAGAACGTGAATGTCCCTTGATCCAACTTTGTAGGCTGACAAGTAGATGAGATCACGGTGACATTCTAACGCTAGTTGCAATGTCACGCAGTAACTATAGTCGGTACGATTTGCTATGGCATAGTTCGTCATAAATCCAAGAGAGAAGGTGCCTGAGTATTTTACCTGCTTTCACTCGTATACGAAGAATGGTAAAACCTACGCATTTGCTTGCAAGTGTTCTATCTTTGTCTATTACGCTCCGGTGTCGTACACTCGACAGAGATAGAACCAATTATCGGATAATTAGAGTAGTTTTCGCTATAAAACTGAAAAACTGCTGCCGAAACTCGAAAGGTCGTCTCTAATCATTATGGATAATACACGATATCATTCTAGACTTAGTGAAAGTGTTCATAGATGAGAAAACAAGAAAACATCAATCAGCTGCGCAGCAAGAGTTGCTAAAAATTGTCAAAAAAAAAAAAAAACTTGCCAAATGCTACAGACGAAATAATTGCGGAAATGGGTCATCAAATTTTAAGATTGCCTTCTTACCATTGTATATTTAATGCCTAGTACAAAATATTTTTTAATTAAAATATTGTAAGTGAGGCAAGGCACGGTGATACTGTTGTAGTATCTCTTTGACAGGCAGCTCTCCAGACAGTTACCAAAGAAAATTGGATCAGTTATATAACACATACAGAAAATATAATAAAAGAATACTGGGAAAAAGAGAATACAGTTGATATAACGGTACCAACACTTGTTATTAATGTAGACGGGGATCTGATGAAGATATTTCATCGAAAATACAAACTAAATATGATTTACTTGTATATTTACTCTTGCCAAATTATATATTATACTGTATGATATATACTTTTTAATTTTCCGATATTTTTGATTCTGTTTTAATTTTTATTGCATGGACAGAATTTTCTGCCAGAAGTTTATTTAAACAAATTATCATATTTTTTTCATATACGTTCACCTACTTAAATATTCGCATATCATTGAGGAACACCCTGATACTGGTTAAATTAATAAATGCCAAATACAACTCATTCTGTCTCGCTTACTCCCAAGTAATATAATCGTGATCGTTAGTGACGGCTGACTTGCATTGATCAGATATATATTTAGGGCAGAACCACATCTTTTGAAGTATAAGTAGTTATTCTATCTGGGATTTTATTGCCGACTATGCCACCACAAATCGTATCGACTATAATTGTGGTTTGAGGTCAGAACTGCCAGTATGGATGCCTACAGTTTTTTCACTGACTTTGTGCTTGGCAATTTTCTGTTCGGTTATAGTGATGCGAGTCAGCTCCGTCTGCATCACACTGACCATTTTACCTATAGTCTCCACAATATTAAATTTGAAGATTTGGAGTACAGTCCGAATCAACATCTTTCGTTAATTATCGTCGGACGTGGTGCGTCGTCGTCGTTAAATCGAGAGCCGTGAGACATTGCCCAACCTCTAGAGCCTTGGTTGGTGTAATTTCAATGACTCTTATAATAATCGGACATTCTATTCTTTAGATTTGTCCCAATTTGGGACCGTAGTTTTCTGTTTTGTTTCTGGCTCCAGGAAACGACACCTTCTTTATTATTTTCCGACCAAACATAATTTTGAAATTTTAAATCTTGTAATTAAAAATATTAATTTGGGGTGCGATAAAATATTACTAACATGAAGACTTTTCCAATTTCAGAGTAATCCTGTATATCAAAAGGCCAATGCAGAGCTATGTACCGCTAACAAATGAAAGTCAGACCGAAGATCCCGTAGAACAGCCAGCAAGAAACGAAGTTCATTCAATCCAGCGCCAGTAAACACTGTAGTTCTATTACGTTAGAGACATATATTTACGGAATAATGGTTACCAAAGACACTTGCCTGGCAAGCTGTTCTTCTATAATATTGAAGTTTATTTTATTTTTATACGATTTTTCGGGTGATATTTTAAGTGATAGTAGACGTTAGGACCTGGTGCTGTTTGTTTAATATTTCTTCACATCTTTTAACAAACTCCATAAAAGCAATTGTGATTAAAATTTTATTACGTAGGTATCTAATTGACAAATGTGTGATAAACTCACATATCGTAATGACGTAATAATTGTAACAATTATCGACTTTATTTATAATAATCAAAGTATACATGTGCCAATTCTAGTCTAAGGCTATTCGAACTTAATAATCAGAAGTTAATAAAATATATTTTTTATTATGTGAATACAATACAACTTTATTAGTAAAAATTGTAAATTAAATGGCCACTGAAATGGTTTGCTCATCTATCGGAAATAATATACATCGAATGAGGAAATGCGAATATTTTTTTCTTTCCTCCGTTTCTTGTGAAAATATTGCTGAATTACCGGTAGTTGATAATATTTGTGTCGAAGAACACAATTTATTCGTATTTAGTTTCGTTTTTCTCAGTATTAACGTCTTAACTTGAATAACTAATTTTTCAGATAAAAAGGTCTGTATTTTGTTATGCATAGAAAAATAAATTTGACATTTTGACTTAGTTTTTGTTTTTATGATAAGTCCCTTTTCGTCCTATATATTTAAAGTTAACAAACAATTTTAATAATGAACCCAAATGTATTACGGAATTATTACAATTGCAGTAAAATTCAGTTTAAATAAAGTCTAAATAAACATTGCCTATCGAAGACCCTTATAAAATGAAAATTATCACATTTATATTAATTTATACAATACTGTAACTATACACTGCGCCGCTCAGAAGTTTGTATTATCAAAAAAAATCTATCTGCAACCTGGTAACTTCCAGAATTGTGGAAATATCTAAATATGAAATGCGCCATTAAGATTCTGATAAATAGTTATACACTAATTGTAATTAATTTATACAAGTTATATAGAATATCTATTAATACAAATAGCACAATATCCCGCCTCTTTCTGAAGCAAATTGATGCATGGAACCTTTTAGTTATAGCCAAATAGTATAAATATGCAACAAGTTTGATAAACGACCTTTCAGTCAATAATAAAAGAGAAAGGAGGAAATGTAAAGTCGGTTCACAGATATAAGAAAGTGACTAACTGATACGAATTAAAGAAAGAACCGGGCCAGCTGTAAGAATGAAATATGGCCGAACAGGTCAGTACTTTGCTTATAATTTAATTATTTGGGGTTTTGTTAGGAAAGATACTAAACGATATTTATTTATTTATGCATATATTTATGTTTAAATCTAAAATAAAATTACAAATTATTTGTATTACCTACTTAAATTACATAAAAAAAATTATTAACATAATATATCAGTATCACTATAGCTCTCATCGCCTGTTTTAATTATTATTTGTTCTATATTATTTGCAATATGGATATACGATTGTTCTGCGTTTTCTATACATTTAACACAATTTGTCCAACTTTGTGGAAGGATGTTAAAAACTTCGGTTTCTATAAGTTTGAGGACATTGGAGTTAACCACGGGGAAAAACATTGTAACGACGAATGGCAGATTTCAGTTGGTGCCAAACATGTTCAATGGGATTAAATATACAGTGGTAACGTGGAAGCCTTAAAACTCTATGCTCTATATTTTTCGCATAATTATCACAGACGTATGCCTTTTGTAGGTTCAAGCTTTGTAGAACCTCAATTAATTGCTTTTTGGTATAATCTTCGTGAAAATAAATGTTATTATACATGTAGCTTTGGATTGTTGCTTTTGTGTCACATGAGGAAGGGGTTTTAGTCAACTGTCTACTGTGTTAACTTGCATTGTCCATTACAATGACGTTATTAGGAGGAATGTTTGGAACTAATTTGCTTTTAAACCAACTTTTAAATAAATCAGCGGTGGTGTCTTCAGAGAAGAATCTTTAACACAGATAAAGTCCATTTGGAATCCAACCATCTTTAGAGCCAGCATGCAAAATAGTTATTCTTTTACCTCTTTTTGATGGCGCGTTTGTTTTACACTTATCAGTTGAGTCAACCCAACCGTTTTTCGGGGTATCATAAGTGTCGAACCAGGTTTCATCCAAGTAAATAATTGGACCTTTGTTGTTCTCTGTAAATCCTAATTTTTTCTAGGTATTCCCGTCGCCATTTCCAAATTCTAAAAGATTCCATTAAAACTTGCCTTTTGTCAATTTTTAAAAATCTAAAACCCATGTGTTGAATATACTTCCATTTAACACCGGTTTCATCTTTTTCAATCCTCCTAATTAAGATATCTAATGTAGGCACGCTTTGTTCCTCATATAGCTGGTAAATTTTACGCCGTATTATATCTTGATCACTTTCATCTGCACTCGAGAAAATGTCAGCATCGCTTTTTTTTCCTCGCTGAAATGGGATTATTAACAATTTTCCATATAGTTGATGTTGGAATTTTCGTCAATGTGGCCGTTTCTTCTAAAGATGCTTGCTTGCTGGCACCACGTTCAATGAGAGCCAAATAAACATTGTTTATAACTTCCTTAGTCTCAATAGAATAGTGTTTTCTACATTTGGGCGGGAGCATCTCCTGAGATACACTAGACTCGCACATATTTTGCATAATTCGCACACAATTCAACACACGCTGTATTACACACGAAATAAGAATGATTACTAATAAACTTAAACCTTAAACTAAGTAGTATACCAAACCAAAGAATATTAAACACAGGTAGATGTAAAATTATTTTCTATTATGGACCACAATTTTACCTGAATTTAAATTCTGAAACTTTAGGTAATAATCTTGTTGCATTGTATGTTAATGACCACCCTTGGATAATCCCATTTAAAAGCAATTGGTCACTTTCTTATATCTATGAACAGACCATACCGTAATAGGGAGTCAACATAAACAAACACATAGAATGATTTGGTTCACCCAATTACTTTATGTATCTTTTCTATAGACTTAATATATCCTAGTAGAGTACAAAAGCTGTAGAAAGAGCGACAGACCGTTTATGTGTTAGAAAGAAACTCTAGAATAAATTTTAATGTGCATCATGTCAGTATTTTCAGATGAAATTTGCAGTCGCACATGAAATAACGTCTAACGGAGAGCATTTTCAAAAATATCGCTAAATGAAACACACAAATTGGCCACGGTGCATAACTGGAGTCTTAACTTCCACTGAATAAGAAGTTCTACGTCAGTTATTTATTTATGAAAATGTTTTAAGTTAATACGTAAACACATAAAACAATATTTCGAATGTAGACACTCAAATGGCACAGGGACGTCCGTAAAACGTCCTTGGGATATCTGACGGGACATAGCATATATCCTAGGGATATACTGTTTCAACTAAGGGATATCCTTAAGACCTCTTAAGGATATAAGATGTTACTAATTGCAACGTCTACAGTAATCAGATAGATATGTCCGTAGGATGTTTGTTAGAACTTCCGAAGTATATCCAGTTATACTAATTGAGACGTTGTTAGTATATCCGACGTGAGGATATAGGAACTTATATAGATATACCAGTGGACGTTACTTATCAGGTTATTTCCAACAGCCTATGAGAAATACTGGAAAGGTGCATATAAATGTGCAGTAGTCCAATTGGTTGTACGACTACAACCATTCTATCAGAGTATTTGGTACTCGCATGTGATGGAATTAACCTATTGGGTATGGTTGGTGAAGTCATTACTGCAGGCGATATTTTAAAGGCACAAGTTTTTTGGAACTTTATGAAAACAAGCGTTAAAAAATAGGAAAAACGTTTTCATATGAAAATTGTACGTTATGCAGGGTGATTCCTAAAATTAATACTTTGTTTTCACCCCCAATTCTTGCATCCATTTTAAGAAAAGAAATATACTAACTATATTATATAACTAAAAATATAATTTTGTTCTGGGGAATTTTCTCTAACATTGCTTACTTAAATAAAAAATTAGTTCAGTTTTGTATGCCTAAATTTAACTGCTCAAAAAATATGAATATATAATATATATTTTTTTAAATTATATTTCTTACACTTTATTTATATTACATTTACTTCCTATTTATTTTTAAAAAACATAACCACGGATTAATTTGGCCAATTTTAATTTTAAAAATTTCTCCTTTTTGTTCATGCCCAACAAAATACCTTTCATTGCAAATTCATTTGAAGTCAGCGGGGTCAGAGCTTGTTTTACAAACTCATAACTGCTGCCGCCGCCTAATCTGGCTGTCTCATTAACCTAGCAAAATAATAAAAAACAAGGCATCATGTTGGAAGACTACACAACAAGGGTTCGTTCAGCTTAGAATTTATGAAATCTTATGTTATATATTACTATAAAGCTTTACTTACGTGAATTATTAATTTTCAGTAATAATAATATCACAAAAAAATAACTGAAATGAACGCACTGAAAGCAGTAAGCACAGCACACAAAATACTCAAAATAGACGCTAAGTCGCCGCATACCGTATACCGCCAACAAAAACAAGGCTGAAAAGATGGCGGACGACGAGACGGAGGAGAAGCCGACGAAACTCGAGCGAGTCCGGTACGACACGATTCGCGAGTAGTTGCGTCATTGGTTAAAGCCGAACGTGTTGTCAACAAATATATTATTTTTACGTTTTTGTAATTTATTTACTTAGATGAATCCGTATTTTTATTAAAAAAGCGTTTCTTGTCTCGTTCGTGTTTAAAAATAATAAAAACAAGTTGATTTTAACGGTTTGATTGCGGTTTTTTTTATTATTTACCAACAATGACGTCGATGTAGATGTGGACAAAAACGTTGCCAATAAAATGTCTCCCAAAACACCAGAAATCTAGAAAAACTAAATATTTTCCTTTTCAGTTGTTCAAAACTTAACTTTTTAGGTTTCATTTTCCTTCACGGTTGTTCACCTTTTTCCGTTATTTCTATTCTAATGTTCCCATTATGGCGCAAGGCCATCTGTTTAGAGGATATCTGTGGAATATCGTGTACAGTAAATCCGCAAGCAATCCATTCAGAGGATATCCTTGGGATATATTTTACAGTATATATGCTAACGTATATCCTAAGAATATCCTCCACGTGTCCACATGCGACTTAAATGGGACATTGACCGGATATACTGAGGATATTGTGTGCTATCTGGGCAATTACTCAAATAAACCTTTGTTTAAGGACAAATAATATTATGATGTTTATCATTTAATTTCCGTATAATGCATTTTTCGTTTGACGTGAAAAAAAGGAGATCAGATACATTGCAAAGCGCATAAATTGAACTAAACCCGGGGTGGTACCACCTGCACTGCAATGAAATAATGGAAGTGTTCGTAGTGTTGGGATTGGTCAATTGACCACCTTTTAATTGACTATTCAAAAAATGTTTTAAATAACATCTTGCAATTATAGAGTGTTATCTATCAATAATTAATAATATGTATTTTATATTAAATTATTTTGCATTTGTGATGTCCAATTTACCTATAACCCTGTTCAAGGAATATCCGAATACGATACTTATCGATTCAGGGAATCCCAATGAAAATATCAACTCCATTTAGTTCTGAGAACGACGCGACGGCGACGTAACGCACAATAAAAATAAATATAAATAAATAAATATAAATTTCATGTTATTTTTAAAATTATTTCGGTCAGTTGACACGAAAAAATTTGACCGATCAATTCCACAACCTTAAGTATTCGTCACTCTGTAGTGTTACAGGTTGCGGGTTATCCTTTTTTAAGAAATATTTTAAATGGTCTCGGCTTCAAGTGCAGCATATTTTAGGCTGGTAATTGGGAGTTTTAGCATAAAAAGTTTCTTATTTTCAATAACCATTGTATTTTAGTAGGTAGTATAAATTCCAGTAAAAATGCATTTGTTTATTAACAAATCATTGCAACAATTCCGTATTAAACAATCCCAAGTAACCAATATTATACTCAAGTACCAATTCTACAATGTCTTACGACGTCGCTTCTAAGAAGTACTCCTATATATAATTTTTATCAATATTTCATCAATAAAGAAATATACGAATTTCCTCAAACTAGTCGCGAGAATATTTATAACTACCGAGTTTTATACACATACGCAAGTCATAAGTTAATTGCAGGCGTTCATCGCCATTTCGCTATTAATTTATGGCCGTAAACAAGGTTTTTAAAATAATCGCATTCGGCATGACAATAACTGGCCATTATCATTATTAACAGTTATATAGCGGGTAGCTCTCATATATGTTTCGACAACGCGTCAACGTACATCTACCGATGAAGATTTTGCAAGTCTAATATCTTCTTTTTCGTGAATAGGCGCTTTTCTTCCCGTGCCCGATGCCCTTCTCGATTCAAATGGGCAGCTCGATCACGGGCCTGGGCGACTCTTCAATTGTGCACTCGTAAAAATCAGCCAGGGTTTGTTCTGTAGGTGACATTGGAATACTGTCATTCTCTGATAATTGGATCCTCTCGTCTCGGACTATGATCGCGCAGTTACACTGACCAGAGTCTATGGATTTTTTGGCTACCCCGCAATAGGTGGCTAGCTTTTGACTACTGTCTACCTGTAACAATGGAAAATATGGTTAGATTTTAACAGCCAAGTGCGAAAATTCAGTTTTTACTACCGCAACACCACGACGAAAATGAAACGGTATTGTTGTTTACCTATAAAGGTGGCCCATTTATTATCTCTTTTATCTCAGGAAAAGTAAAAAATACAAGATATTAAGATATTTTTGAATTCGTTGGAACTTTCTGAAAATATTTTCAATTTTTTGTCAAAAATGATGTTTGCAGATATGTCTTCCTTTGTTATATATTGGGAGTTGATTTTCTTTAGAATTTTAAAAATTTAAATAAAAAAAGCGTTTATTATATATATATATATATATATATATATATATATATATATATATATATATATATATATATATATATATATATATATATATATATATATATATATATACATATATGATGACACTTCGTGTTAGTGTTCGAAGTGTTTTCGGAGCGCGAGCATTGAAGATGCCAAGTGAGATTTTGGCGAAACGTCTGCAGGATTCCAGTCGGATGCAGGATTTGCAGGATTCCAGTCGGAGTTCAACGAGCGAACGGATGATATCCCGGAATATAGTGTCATCACATTTTTCCATCCGTGAATCAATACGTGAGAATATATATATATATATATATATATATATATATATATATATATATATATATATATATATATATATATATATATATATATATATATATATATATATATATATATATATATATATATATATATATATATATATATATATATATAAGAATATATATTTGCTATTGCTAATATTCCGAAAAGCCGGTAAAATGATAAAAATCGTGGTCACATTTGAAAAAAAAAGACTTTTAGATATTTTTTCTGCTCCCTTCTGTAAAACACCGTATTTTTTAGGTAATTTTTGGACTATTATTGAAATGTGTATTTCTATAAAAATTAACTGAAAATCTAAAAATCTCAATTACAAGATGAATTTCTGATCCATTTTTTAGGAGTGCAATTGGTGTCCTTCTTTTATCCTGACTCGTCAGTTTGCAACACGACAAAGTGCAATATATCTTTAATTGTTATCAATTGTTAGCAAATATTTTAAAAAGCTATTTCGAGAAATTCAGCCTTCGGTAACGCTGTCAACGATATGAAAAAGAAAGTGAAAGTGTTAACCTAGGCAAACCGGAGAGAAGAGCATATGCGCCGATCAACTTACACAACGTTTCAACAATGGAAGCGAGGAATGCCAAAGAATGTGGGTTACGGTCATACCCTGTCCTTTTCCGTAGCGTTATTGAGACCAATACAAATCTGAAACGTTGCGGTTATCACGTCCTTAAGCATTAACCGTGGTCCAAGTTTGTGTCACCGGCGCCAGCCATAGGTACCAACGTGACTTAAAGCACACTCGATTTCTTTGGCAATGTAAAAATACCGAGAATATCTACATAGGACATTGGACACACACCTATTTTATGATCATGTCTTCAAAACGCAATATTTTTTTCATTATAGCAACTGGAAATCGTTTAAATTTATTCGAGAATTAAATGCGCCATTCATTGCAACGAAAAAGTGTATAGTAAGCGATTAGAGCATAACTTCGAATGATGTAATACAATTAGAACACATTAAAATGTTTTAGCAAATTTTCGGATATTTTAGCGAATTAGAAACCGGTACGTCAGTGTTTCATGTGACCACATTTGTTTAAAACAAGAATATTCGATCGAGCCTCAAACTCAAGTCACAGAATAACTAATTCTGTGCTGAAATATTTACACAGTTGCATGTCATATTGAAGACTAACTATTGGAGTACGTGTGGTGATATCAAAAAAGAGACAAAACACACTACTAATCACAGATATACCTAGTTTTCTTTCTGCATATAAAATCGCACACATTTAACATATCAACGACTAAAAAAATTATCTTATAAAATATGTATTTAGATTTATCTGGGGTACATGTTAAGAGGATTAGGAATTCTATGATATGACGTCTTTCGACTTAGAGAGCTTTATAGATTTTGTAAGGAGCAAAATGTTTTTACGTAATTATTTCTTATCATTAAGAAATAATACCTAATACTAATAACTAATCGCGCATGAAATCTGACCTATGAAACCCGTAAAAACTCTGTTAAATCATAACGTAGTTCTAATATTTTACCAAAGTTTTGAGCACTTCTTTAAATAATAACCCAATATGATTAAATAACAAGTTTTAAGTTATTTGTAGATTGCGCTATGGGTGTAAGGTTTGGTTGCGGCCTCACCGATTTAAAAAATTCAACAAACTTACTTGTCATTATTAAGATTATAAGATATAAAGCACAAGATAAGGTCTTTATGCTTTTTCTTATTTTGCTTTAATTGTACTTTTTTTTATCAATCTTTAACAATAGTTATTTAAATTCCAAACCAAAATTGAAAAGAAACAAATTTTGAAAAAAAAAATTAAAAATATTATTTTTTTGTCGCGTTGTGAAAGTTTATGGAAATTATTAATTTAACACTGACACTGGCAATACTCGTTCCCACTTTTTGGAGAACGATTTTAAAAATATATATTTGTTGGAATATTTATATTATTACGTCATATCCGACAAGACCCCGTAACAAAGAGGCGCCGCCTTGTTTTTTTTGCCGATCGTAAAATGTATCGGCGTCTCAGGCAAAAAGGACAGGGTGGGCAAGCTGCGGTGAGGAGATAATTAGGGTATTATTATGCGATGTTTTTGGGGGTTTACGATGAGTTAGTGAAGACGTAGTTGTCGAACGGAGAGGATTAAACTCGATTCTGCTTCATTACGTGGTTTTATTTTTGATGATCCTTACAAAGCAGCGGTGGGATTTTACTAAAATCACTTACAATCGTTTTTTTTTTTCTCTTCTCGGACAAGTTAAAATTATTGTACGTCATGGGAAGATTTAAATCGAAAACAGTTACAAGTGAAAAGCGTAATAAACGGAAAGAACGTTCATCCTCGTCTTCGGGAAGTGATAGTGACAGTTCGAATTCGAGTTATAGCTCTTCCGATAATAGCTCGAGGAGAAAACGGACAATAAAACGTTTGAGAAAAGAATTAAATGATTTAAAAAGGCGTAAGCCGGTCTTTCGCGCGGGAGACGAACTTTTAGTGCCAAAATTTGACCCAAGTCGGGATGACGTGATGGTGGATAATTGGTTGAGTAAAGTGGATAGTTTGGCAGAACGTTATCAGTGGGACGATGATACTATTCTTCGAATAATTTCCGGACGATTACGAGGTAATGCTCGTCAATGGTACGACGAGAACGTGGAGTATGACTCAAGCTGGATTGAAATTAAAACATCAATGAGCCTCTATTTCCGTAAGTCTGTTCCATTTTCCAAGTTACTAAAGGACGCTGCTAATTACGAAACTAAGCCGGGACAAAACCTAGGAGATTATTGTTTTAAAAAAATGTCTAAATTAAGGGCACTTAACATAAATATACCTGACGTTTATTTGATTGACGCAGTAATCGGCGGTATTAAAGACGATAATATATCGCGAACTGTTAGAGCCGCACAGCATGAGAATGCCAATGCACTTTATGCGTATCTAAACACCGTGGGTAACATGCCTACGGAAATTTGTAGTTTTCGTCAGAATAATACTAAATTCAAACGTCTGCCTTGGACTGGCTTCAATCGAGGAAATTCGAATAATAAAGAATTTTCTAGAAAATCTGAGTCCCGCCCAACGTGTTACAATTGTGGTATTCCGGGTCACATTTCAGTTAACTGCAAAAAACCACGTCTTGAATGTAATAATTGCAAAAAACTAGGTCACACTAAAGAAAAGTGTCCCTTTTTACAAAAGGAAATACAGCACGTTAATCTGTTAGCAAAGGAAAAGTTTCCTAATATATTCTTACAGCCCGCCCGAATTTTTGGCAAAAAAATAAAATGTTTAATAGATTCGGGCAGTTCAAATACGCTAATAAAGGAGTCCCTCGTTAAGAGATTTGGATTGCAACGTATTGATTCGGAGAGTATGACTTTGTGTAGTTTTATGGGCACTTCTTTAGATAGTAGGTCCCTTTGTAAAATAACCGCTACTATACAAGGGGTTTCGGCACAAGTAAGTGCCATAATTCTTCCGGACAAATACCTTAAATATGATTTATTAGTTGGTCGGGATTTTATTAACCAAGAACATGTAATCATGATTAAACGTGACGATCGATTAGTTTTATACAGCTTATTCCCCATTACAAGTGTGTCTGTGAGTTTGGTTGAGGTTTATGACACTATGGATTTAAATAGTGTAAATTTGGGCCCTATTTCAGAGGCTGATAAAGTAAAATGTATTTCCTTATTGCATAGTTTTTCGGATTGCATTTCATCTTCCATGGAAAATTTAGGAAATACGAATACGGTAGAGATGGAGATAAAATGTATAGTCGACACACCGGTTGTACGTTATCCTTATCGTATGCCTGAGGTTGAAAGGGGTATTCTCCGAAATATGATTCAAGAACTTTTGGATAATGAAGTCATCCGCGAATCCAATTCTCCGTACTCCAGCCCGATTACACTTGTTAAAAAAAAGGATGGAGGCTATAGAATGTGCGTTGATTTTAGACATCTCAATGCAGTAACCATTAAAAACCGTGGTGTATTGCCACATATCGAAGACCAAATCGACAAATTAGGAGGATTTAAGTATTTCACCAGTTTAGATTTAGCATCCGGTTTTTATCAAGTTCGCATGGCTGCTAATTCCATTGAAAAGACTGCATTTGTAACACCCGATGGCCATTACGAATTTTTAAGGATGCCCTTTGGGTTAGCAAATGCGCCTTCAGTTTTTCAATCATTAATAAACAAGGTTCTGGGACCGTTAAAAGATGAATTTGCCTTCCCCTATATAGATGACATTATAATTCCTTCATTGACGGTTGCGGAGGGACTAGAACGCTTAAAAAAGGTGTTAATCCAACTTCGTGCACATAACCTTACTTTAAAAATCAGTAAGTGCGTATTTCTTGCAACTACTATAGAATATCTTGGGAGAGAAATCAGTGCAGAAGGAGTGAGGCCAGGTAAGAAGAAAATTCAAGCGGTATTGGATATGAATTATCCTTCCAACGTTAAGCAAGTGCGTCAATTTCTTGGATTAGCAAGTTATTTTCGAAAATTTGTCAAGAACTTCTCCATGATTGTCGAGCCTCTAACAAAATTAACTCGCAAAAGTGCGAATTGGATATGGAGCGCACCACAAAAAGAAGCATTTCACCAAATTCAACAAAAGCTTATATCTTGTCCAATTCTTGCAATATATAACCCTAAATTAGAAACCGAACTTCACACAGACGCATGTTCCATCGGTGTCGGGGCAATATTGCTTCAATATGATGCTGAGGGTAATACACATGTTGTCTCTTATTTTAGCAAAAAAACAACAAGCGACCAAAGGCAGTACCACTCATACGAACTCGAGACTATGGCTGTAGTTTATGCCTTAAAATATTTTCGGGTTTATTTATTGGGGATAAACTTTAAAGTGGTTACGGATTGTAATGCCTTGCGAACGACCTTATCAAAGAAGGATTTGATCCCGCGCATTGGAAGATGGTGGCTGGAAATTCAAGAATATACCTTCGAAATTGAGTACAGGGCCGGCAAAAAGATGACGCATGTTGACGCTCTTAGCAGAAACCCTATATCGAACAATAATTTTAAAGTTGAAGTTTTTCATATAGACTTGACAGAAGCTGACTGGATTACCGCCGCACAAATGCAAGATGAACAGATTTGTAGAATCCGAAACATTTTAGCCGATAAAATAAAAAATAGCGATACAAAGTTTTACTTTGAGCAGTATGAGTTAAGGAATAACAAATTATACAAAAAATTAGGAAATGGAACCAAAGCATGGGTTGTTCCACGAGCAGCACGTATGCAAATTTGTCGTTTGTGTCACGATGATTCTGGGCATCTTGGTGTAGAAAAAGTGTTACAAAGAATTTGTGAAAACTATTGGTTCGCAAAAATGAGGAAATTCGTAACGAAATATGTTAACGCATGTCTAAGTTGTATGTATTACAAACAGTCGTTTTCTAAACGAGAATGTAAATTGAACCCTATTGAGAAACATCCGATTCCTTTTCATACATTACATGTAGATCATGTTGGGCCGTTTATGACAAGCAAAAAGAAGAATAAGTATATTTTTGTAATTGTTGACGCATTTACTAAATTCACTGTAATCGAACCAGTACATAATCAAAAAAGTAAATACGTTATTAGGGTTTTAACCGACCTAATATATCTATTTGGAGTACCTAGCAGAATTATAAGCGATAGAGGGACAGCTTTTACATCTCGAACTTTTAGAACATTTTGTAATACTTATGGGATTAAGCACGTTTTAAATGCCGTTGCCTCGCCCAGAAGTAATGGCCAATGTGAGCGATATAACAAAACCATTGTGAGTGCGCTATCAACAACAGCTGCAGGCAAGGATGAAAGAGATTGGGACAAATATATAAAACAAGTGCAAAGCGCACTTAATACAAGTTTTAATAAGGGTATTAATTCGACCCCCATGAAGGCGCTTATTGGCTATAATTCAAAACATGCGGCAGAGGCAATAATTCTGAATGAAATCCAAGACGAAATCGATAGGCTAGACCTGGAAGAGCTTAGGTGTAAAATTTCGGATCACATATCGAGGGACCAGAAAAAACAAAAAGAACGCTATGATAAAACACGACGAGATGCCAAAAGGTACAACGACGGTGACCTAGTTAGAGTATTAATAACGAGTATACCTACTACGGGTGCCAGTCATAAGCTTCATCCGAAATACAAAGGCCCTTTTCGCATCACAAAAGTACTATTTAATGACAGATACGAAGTTGAAGACTTACGAGAGGGGTTCAAACGTAGACGAACTGTTGTAGCCGCAGACCATGTTAAAAAGTGGATTAGTATACAAAACGAAGAGGATTAATGGCAAACGTGCCTATGAGCGAACGTCGCTCGTGTTTTGTATTTTGGCAAACGTGCCTATGAGCGAACGTCGCTCGTGTTTTGTATTTTGGCAAACGTGCCTATGAGCGAACGTCGCTCGTGTTTTGTATTTTGGCAAACGTGCCTATGAGCGAACGTCGCTCGTGTTTTGTATTTTGGCAAACGTGCCTATGAGCGAACGTCGCTCGTGTTTTGTATTTTGGCAAACGTGCCTATGAGCGAACGTCGCTCGTGTTTTGTATTTTGGCAAACGTGCCTATGAGCGAACGTCGCTCGTGTTTTGTATTTTGGCAAACGTGCCTATGAGCGAACGTCGCTCGTGTTTTGTATTTTGGCAAACGTGCCTATGAGCGAACGTCGCTCGTGTTTTGTATTTTGGCAAACGTGCCTATGAGCGAACGTCGCTCGTGTTTTGTATTTTGGCAAACGTGCCTATGAGCGAACGTCGCTCGTGTTTTGTATTTTGGCAAACGTGCCTATGAGCGAACGTCGCTCGTGTTTTGTATTTTGGCAAACGTGCCTATGAGCGAACGTCGCTCGTGTTTTGTATTTTGGCAAACGTGCCTATGAGCGAACGTCGCTCGTGTTTTGTATTTTGGCAAACGTGCCTATGAGCGAACGTCGCTCGTGTTTTGTATTTTGGCAAACGTGCCTATGAGCGAACGTCGCTCGTGCTTTGTATTTTGGCAAACGTGCCTATGAGCGAACGTCGCTCGTGTTTTGTATTTTGGCAAACGTGCCTATGAGCGAACGTCGCTCGTGTTTTGTAGTTTGGCAAACGTTGCCTATAAGCAAATGTTGCTTATTTTATTGTTTATAAAGGAATATCGCTTATGTTTAAGATACCCTACTAATTGATTATGTTTTTTTTATTACGTAAGACTAGGAACCAAGCTAGAATAGTCAAATTATTGTAGTTTTGAAAGATTTAAGTTACGTTTAAATTTCACCATTAGGTCTGAGGACAGACCAATAGTCAGGATGGCCGAGTGTTGGAATATTTATATTATTACGTCATATCCGACAAGACCCCGTAACAAAGAGGCGCCGCCTTGTTTTTTTTGCCGATCGTAAAATGTATCGGCGTCTCAGGCAAAAAGGACAGGGTGGGCAAGCTGCGGTGAGGAGATAATTAGGGTATTATTATGCGATGTTTTTGGGGGTTTACGATGAGTTAGTGAAGACGTAGTTGTCGAACGGAGAGGATTAAACTCGATTCTGCTTCATTACGTGGTTTTATTTTTGATGATCCTTACATATTTTAATAATTTTTTAATCAAAATAATTAAATAATTTAAATTCATGTAATAATTTAGTAAAATAAGCGAATTCTGAAATCTTCGTGAAAATTGAGTGAAATCTAATGGTTGTGTACCAAGTTACAATCATACAATACAATCCTTACCTCAAGAACGGGAATGTAGTTCTCGTAACAGAACGCATGCAAGAGGACGGTCTGTATATGGTTGGCGGCATCGCCCGGACGAGTCTGAGGCAAAACGCAGAGTACAACGTCCTCGGGGCTTTTTTCCAAGTAGGCTATGGCAGGCAGAAGTCCGCATATCAAACGGCGTTCGGCTTTCGCCTTAATTAGGGCTCCTCTAAGAGCACGTCCCAACTTGTTCCTGAAAACAGCCGAAGGCGTCAGTCAGTAAACGGCGAAAATTAAGAAAGAAAAACGTGAGTTCATCGCCCACGCAGGGCAAGGTCACGGATAGGAGTCAATAACCACGTGCGAAGGGCACGTGGCTAGACAGACGACGTCATGGCGACAGCCGTCTTTGTTTACATTGACGCGTGTCGACGTATATATTTTAACAGCTTCCAGTATTTATTTTTTTATCTTAATTGTTAGTTTTGATGTGATTCTAGGCTCGACATATCATTGATAAAAAGGGTAAATATATGTGCACAGCGGGAACTAACATAATATTCGCAATATCTCTGAGCTTGCGCATTATCGCGGTCTATGATTATTAACAAAATCAACAAATTAAAACAGTATTACTACGTATTGCACATTGAATTCTTAAATTAGTTTGTGATGTAATTAAAATATTGCAAATGAAAGAGAGATTATCTTCTTCTAATTATAAATTAATTAATAGCACACCTGTTAATCATTTTGCACTTCTCTTCGCTGGGCCTGGTGATGTACATGTCTATGTAAGTAGAAGATCTCAAAGATTTATACAGTCTGTCGGCAATAAAACCCCTTTGGCGCAGCTCGAAAAACACTTTTTCACTGCACAAGTCACTAAACTTGAACTTGAACCGGCGTTTTACAAGATTGTGTAATCTCACTCAATCTTTAATAACAACCTTCAATGTTTTTACTACACGTGCTGCTCAGCTATGTGTGACGTTGCCGCCGTGAATTCGCTTTTAAAGCTCGATCGTTCGCGGAGTGGTGGGGGCACGTGAATTCCGAGCTAACTACGATCGAAATGCTTCGAGGAAAGTCCTGCGGGTGGAAGCTAACGCACCAACGGTAAACATTCTGCTGCAACATCGGTGCACGAATGGTGAAAGATTACGAGATCCGTTGAATAAATTAATTGTTATGCAATCGACCTAGGACTCGGTGCTTTACGGAATTTTCTGCTCGGGTACCCCGGCTATTCGTAGTAAGAATGGGAAATACAATGTGGAAATACCTACGTTTCGGAAACCGTGGGGTTTTAATCTATTTTACCCACCATTTGTTTTTGTTGGCATATTTATATTGACAAAATGTAGAAATCAGGAATTGCAGGAATTGCAGGAATGCTTGTTAGTTTAGCGAAATTTAATTAACCAAAACTAAATATTGCAATTTGTTTGAAGTTCAACATCTTCTCACGTCAGTTCTAAAAGCTCATTTCCAACAATAGAATAATTATGTAAATGGTTAGACACTTGAAAAGGGTAAACATAATAAAAATATTTGAAGAAAAAGCGTTTGATAACCCTTGCTTCAATGTGTCGATCGAGCTGTCGTTAAATGGGTCCTGTCTAAGCTCAGCGGCGGCCGCTTGGAGGTAACCCTAAGAGAGGCCAAATTGGATGCGGCCGCCGTGAGAGACGGCCATCAGGGGGGTTCCTTTCCACGAGTCGCTTCTAGTGGACGATCTTCGGGCGGACCTACACGCTCAGGTGTATTGTTATCAAAGGCAAGTATTTAGGGCCCAAGACGGAGCTCATGTAGATAGCTCTTTATCGAACTAGCGAATGGTGCGAACAAAAAGGTTTGTCAGTAAATCCGACAAAAATGGAGGTACTTCTGTTCACAAACAAAAGGAAGCAAGGCGTAATTCGTGGGCCTGCTATGCAGCGCGTGAATTTGAAACCGGTCCGGACAGTGAAGTATTTGGGGGGTGACTCTGGACTCCAAGCTCTCCTGGACGTTAATGAAAATAAGCCGGAAGGCGCGCGCATTCCTTTGGATGTGTCGTGACCTTTGGGGACACAACTGGGGATTGAAGCAACAAATCGCGTCCTGCAATGGATGTACACGATGATGGTAAAGCGGTAAGACCACTCATGACCTCTTCTGTCTTGGTATGGTGGTGCTCGACTGAGAGAAACAATAGCAGGGCAGATCGATGAAGGTTCCTTTTACGACTTGAGCCCTTACACCTAAAGGTAAGCCTTGAGACACTCGGGATATAGATTCTACGAAAATGGAATGTCACCGGTGACAGAGGTGCACCGACAATTGTCATCTGTCTCAGGCTGGGAGAGCGTATGGTCCTGACGAGGATCCATACTAGTGCGTCATGGGTTAGCATGGAATACGAGCGTCTCCAAAATAGACACTTGAACACGAGCTGGTAGATTTAGCAACTCTTCTAAGATACAGATATCTATGCCTCTGTAGTTCTATCCCAATATATTCTAGGCAGAGATCTATGCGAAATTGATGTGTGCTCACGAGAACTTCAGAGGATATCTCGGACAAGCACATCTATACTTGACTGTCCACCTCGAGATTGCTACTTCACTACCTAAAAACACTGGCAAAACGGGTGAAATGTAATTCTGTCAATCTTTCAACATCGTATCTCGAACGGGAGCCTTTGCGTGTTGAAGAGCGAGCTGAATGAATGGCTCTGTAGGAAGTTCGCTCTGCACTGGGAGACTTTAACGGGACAGAGGCCTTACCTCCATATCATCGGGTTGGCGACGATAGCACGTGCAGGGTGTGTTTAGAAGAGGAAGAAATTGCAATTCATCTCAGCTGCGCACCACTAGTGGCAGGCGATTGAGAGTACTAGAAGCTCCATTCAATAAGCCCGAAGAACTATCTAAATTCCCTATGAATGAGGTGCTGTACATCCGAGAGAGTACAGGGCTCTTTTAGGGGAGGGATTAAAGCCGTGCGGGTATAACGAGTCAAAAAGTCTAAGTACAGCGCGCTGGCCATAACGAACAAGGATGCACCGCAGATAGAATAGGAACAAGGTGAGCAAATTTGGATGTTTAAATTACAAAAGTATATTATGGAACTAGTTTTATAAATGAAACTTTAACCATGATTTTGTTTAGGCACGACGAGAGCGGGTGTTTCCATATTTTACTTTTTTTACGACCATTAGTTTTTGGGTACGTTTTTGGAAAATATCAACCAAAGATATCCTACCGTTTTATATACGGTCACATTAAACAAGAGATACAAAAAAAACGGACCGTCGCAAATATAAAAAAAAAGAAAAATACATGATGTTAGTAGTATGCGTTTTGCTAAAATTTGAATAAAAAATGCACTCTCTGGTTTACCATTTAGTCTAATAAAAAAATACGTTATAAAATTTTTTTGCAAAAACATAGTGATAGCGAATAAAGACTTGATACACCGAGATACTTTTCTAAATATCATTTTCTAGGCTTTCAAAATAGGTTTTAGTTTTGGTTAGTTGTTATGAAACAAACGTTTTTGAAAACTTAGTAACAGTCGACTTTGAAAAAAATTGCTTTCATCCGAATCCGAAAATAGCAAATTGAAGATTCTTGTTTGGAAACGAAAAAAATAACTTTAAAATTATTTTAGATAAATTACACATAAAATAATAAAATGAACTGTTAGTATTTATGGGTTTCTCCTCATATTCGTTCACCCATAAAAATACCAAATTATATTTGAAATAAAACACCATTTTTGATCCAAATTGTTTTTGCATGGACATTGCTTAATAATAATTTTGCAATACTATTATTTGGCATTATTTTATTAAAGTGCATATTCTGATTAGTAACAAATATTTCAAAAAATGGAACTTCCATGTACATTTACGTATACTACCTTAAAAAATAATTATGATTAGTGTTATGTCCAGTAAAACTGATCAAAAGAACTCTTATCTCGAAACCAAGACTTTGCATAATGTGATGTAATGTCAATATAATTCCAGTTATCACCCAGTGAAATATTTCTATCGATGTATCAAATATCTTACATATTATGTTTACGCTTTAGAACAAAGCTGATTTTATTTGAATCTGAATTAAAATTTTTGCTACACATCTGCGAGATTCCAATCCCAATTTGATAAACTAACGGATGTTATCCCGGAACAATTATTATTTATCACAAACGTTTTCAATTGAATTATTACGTGAAAACATTTGTAACATGTATACATATACATATATTTTTAAAGTAAATCTGTACTTTAAACTAAATAATAAATAAAATTATGAATACATCTATTAATGTGCAAAATTATTCCAGGCAATGAATTTGAAAACTCGGACGGAAAACGAAATAGCTAAGTGTACCAGCTTGTAAATAGTACCTAAAATTGATTGATTACCTGTTGCAAGAACTTAACGTACCACTTAATTTATAAGCACACTTACCTTAATTTATTTTCAAACAAAGATAAAGCAGACGAACTGATATGTCTAGCTAATACAAATGTTATTTTTATGCTAGATTATTCGGTCACCATTGGCGAAAAGGATTGTATCCGTTTCGACAAAGTCTGCCTGGTGGAATTCGACCGGCGTAAAAAACACGCTATGAAACACGCCCCTCTCAGGATCTTCATTTTACTCAAAACCCAAAGGCTGACTCATTCAAGGAATTGTGAGAGTGTTGCCAAATCTCTATTTTTTTCCAGGTTCAGCGTGGGTTTTCGTTTTAACTGTCGAATTTACAAAAGGCATGTTTAAGAATTTAAGTAGAAATATTACCTTGCTATTGTTTTAATGTATTCATTTAAATATTTTGGTAAACGAAAAAATCCAGTTTAATGTAATCCTACTAAGAAATATTTCATAATGAATTAATATAAAAATGTTTTTATGTATTTGTTAATCTTAAAACCACACTATTTCCTTTTTCAATTATAAATGAATTTTGAACGAGAGAAGACAATTCATTGTCTTTCAAGACTTAGAGCTGAAGTATTTGTTAACATTTTTACGGGGAAATCGCCCAACTTTGGGTGAACTGAGATGAACTAAGGACTGAGTACATGAAGAATAGGAGACTCGCCCACCGTAGGCTATCAAAATATTAGCATTCCATAGTTAATTTTTTAAAAGGTAGAAGCTAAAATATTTCTGTGAGTTTTGGTACCACCTCATTTTTCGTTTGTCTTTAATATTGCAATTCATGAATTCTACTGCGAAATAAAAAAATACCTATTGTAGTGTAACCATTTATTTGATAACTTTGCACGATGTTCTGTTTGTGCACTATTATACATTAATATTTGCCCACAATACCTTAATAGCTTAATAAAATAGTCCAACCGGTACAATTACTTGAGACGAACAATTCCCTGGGCTCCCTCAGGTCATCCAACTGTGCGTCGCGACGGAACGAAAAAGGGAAATTATTAGACAGAGTTAAAAAACTTAAAATGTACTATATATATATTACATATATTATAAACGGTAAACCTGATCAAATCAAACCAGAAAAATTAGAGTGAAAGACAAATTATTAATATTTCAATGAGCATTGAATTTTTGGAATTCCTGCATAGAAAAGTATAAATCGGAATGAGCTATTTTTACATGAAAGTGAATTGGAATCAACAAACATAGACACTATTTTCTGTCCAAAAATATATCTATTCTCGTCTCACTGACGCCTAAGTAAGGTTGCTCAGATCTGAATGCCGTGACACCTTTTTATATTGATTGGCTTCAATTATGATTATGATTAAGAAAAGGTTCTTAGTTAGTTATAGCTTAGAGAAGCACCTTTCCTCACTTGCAGTAGTTATTGATGTACTCACCAATATTCTGAAGTTTACACAAAGGTTTGGGTCAAAATTTAAGGTTGTTATTTTCTTTGGGCTTAAGCTTTCGCATATTGTAAAATTCTTCTCTGCCAGTTCGGCTCCATTTATATCAACAGAGTCATGAAT